TGTGCAGGGATTGCATACAGGATCTATGCCAAGGGTGCTTGAGCAGGCTGATCATCCAGGTGGGCAGAGAACAATGAGAAGGAGGCTGGGGGCCTGGACTTGTCAGAGAAATTCTTCCTAGGCTGGACTTGAGAGGATGGATTCATGCGAGGTCCCTGGAGGAGGTCCTGTCTCTGGAGCCCAGGATATGGGGAGGGGGGCACTAGTAATCTTATACAGACACAGGTAGGAGTCCCTGAGATGCCCAGGAATAAACATATGGGTGACACGGTACTCTCCCAAAGGGGCACTGTAACCAGGTGATAGCCAAGGGGCCACACCTGGCATAGAGGATGCAGAAAGGGGGGGGGGCAGTGGGGCTGGACTTGAGGGGGCTCTCAGAGGGGCAGGCATGGGGGATGTCCCAAAGGAATGAATGGGTTTCTCCCAATGGAGGAGTGGGGAACTGGGAGCACGGCACGCTGGAACACACCAAGCACGAAGGAGACGGGGATGAGACTGGCATACTGGTCGCAGTAGATGACGAGCATCTCAAAGTAGCGCTTCTGCTCTTCAGTCAGCACGAAGCTGCAGGGAGGGGTGTGTGTCACAGGCTAGCCCACTCAGCTGCCAGTCTCTTCCGGCGCCCCACACCCCGGCCTCTTCCCAGCCCACTCTGCCCCGCACACTCAGCCCGGCCGCCTCACCGATAGGCAGCACTCAGCACCATGTAGAGCCCGAGAAAACAGAGCAGCTCCCGCCACAGAAGTTTGTAGATGCTGCCGCGCCACAGCAGTAGCAGCTGTGAGAAGCCGCCGAACCGTGCGTTGGCCACACGGGCTGTGTAGGTGACAGTCATCGCGGCGCCGGCCGGTGGGACCAGAGAAGGTGAGGCCAGACCCAACCCCCAACTGTGACCTGCGAACAGGGGACCTGGAGGGAGGGGCTGTGGGCGGTGGGAGGTGGTAGAGAGGAATGGGGTGACTCAGCTCAACATTCCCTCCCTGCCCAGCCACCTCCTCAGTCCAGCCTCCTCCCAGCCTTGCTCAGTCCCACCCCTAGCTGCCGGTCCTCCTCAAGCCTTCTCCCGTAGGCCACCCCTTTTTTGGACTCTTGCTTTCCACATCTTGTGCCTACCTCTTCAGCCCCTCTCACCAGCCCCAGCCGCCCAAACCCTTGAGTTAACCAAGGTGTCTTCGATCCCATCCCATCCACATTACCTGGGCTCCATCTGGAAACTCCCCTACACCCCCAGTCACCATTGTCTCTGTTTCTGGATTTTCAGGGCTCTGACTGCCCCCCTATACCATTCTTCTCCCTCATATCCCACCTCTGTGTCTCCCCACTTCCCTAGCTCCCAGTCCCTTCCCTTCCTCCACTGCCACACTCTTTGGAAGCCCTACAAAACGCTGTCAAGACTCCAGGCCCCCAGTTCCCCTCCCACACTCCCCCTGCCCCAGGCAGGCCCCCTCTCCTGCACAGCTGCCCCAGCCCATCCACCCTCCCCACTTCATTATTCCTCCCCTTCTCCTGAGTCCACCTTCATCTTCCCTCTGTTCGTTGTCCAGCCTTCTAAGCTCTCCACTCCGTACTCTGAGGATTCTGATGGATTCATGCCTGATTCCTGTCCACAGGTCCACCCGTCTTCAGAGTCTCCTATTCCCCTGGGCCTGGGCCCTTCTCACCTGATGGTGGGTGCAGGACACACGGGGACAGGGACAAGATAGGCAGGTGGCTTCAGCATCAGGTGGGGCTGAAGCCAGACCCTGGGGTGGGAAGGGGCTGAGGAATGGGAGTGGATGGTCCCTCCCTGGCCTTCTCCCCTGAGCTGCAGCCTCAGAACTTTGGAGAAGTCTAGCCAGTTTGTTACCTGGAGCAGGGGGAGAAATCCACCCAGGCCTCCCTTGCTCCTCCCCATCTCTCTTCCTGGCATTCACTGGCAGGTTCAAGGAATTCTAGAACTAGAGCTGGGGGAGGGGGCAGGGACCGTGTCCTTCCTAGCCTTAGACACATGCGCACGGGAGCACGCACATGCACACACACACACACTCTGCTCAATGGGGCTGGTTCACTTCCCATTCACCTGTAATTGTACACTGTCACAAAGATGTACTTAGAAACACACACCATACACCCAGGCATAGATTCAGCTTTCCTCAACACTGACACAACCATGGTGATCCAGAGGGCAGTAGGTTCTGTCACAGATAAAGTCACAAAAGTCACCTAGCTCTACCCCCTCCAACATTCAGGTATATGGCAGATGGACCCCATCCCAGCAGGCTCCCAGCCACCAGCCACCCAGGAACACATGGGCAGGGGCCCAAGGCCCAGCATTCCCTCCTGATTACACCATTTAACAAAGACACATTCGAGATCACACAATCAGCTAAGTGCAGACCCCACCCAGAGCCCAGAAAGCCTGCACACACAGGTGCACACCATCCCACAGAGGACAGTAGCACGAATTTATTCCTGACCTTCCCTGCACAAAGATACACCCATGGTCACACACCAGATGTGGGAATGCCTGCCCTCTACGCAACTGCACACACTCCTGGGGTCCCTCAGATCTATCAGTGTTGCAAGGACACACTCACACAACAGTGACCCCTCAACAGTCCTGCAGACCCTGAGGAGCATATCCAGATGGGCTCACATTCACAAGCCCTCCTGAAACTCATCTGCATTTGCACACTGAAAAGTAAGACACCCCTCCCCTTGCCCCCTCATTGTGGTGTGCAGCCCCCTCCCCCATACACACACACCTCGGATCTCAGACCCTCTCATACAAGCTGGTGTGCCATGCACACACAAGCTTGGGGACACGAAAACTCATCCCTATAGTTGGCATGGATGGAGGACAGACATTAACCCCTTCACAGATATGCCCACAAAGAGGTCATTCCCAGCCTGGCACAAACAGCTTCCCTACCCATCTTTCAAACACGCAGCCTGGTGTGGGAATGGTGGAGGCTCAGAAGTCCACTCTGTGTACTAGAAGTGCAGATGTCTTTATGTGGCCCCACCCAGAAGCCCTGCCAGCCAGGATGCTTTGTTCCAAGGCTGGCAGATGCCTGCCCCACCTGGGGTAATTAGGAACTAGCCTAGGCTGGCCATCCCCAAACCCGCTCCTCTGCTGTCCAGCTGGACAGCCAATAAAAGTGGATGAGGGGTGGCACTGCTAGCTATGGGCCCTGGGGAGGCTTTGAGTTGATGAGGCTCTCTTCCTGACCAGAGTCCCCCACTCTCTAGGGTGTATGCATGTTTTTTTTTTAAGATTTTATTTATCTTTTTTAGATAGAGGGGAAGGGGGGCGGAAGAGAGGGAGAGAAACACCAACATGTTGTTACCTGTCCTGTGCTCCCACCAGGGACCAAACCTGGCCTGCAACCCAGGCATCAAACTGGTGACCCCTTGGTTCACAGGCTGAGGCTCAATCCAGTGCCATACCAGCCAGGGCTAGGGTGTATCTTTTTTGAAAGAAATATTTTTAGAGAGGAGGAGAGAAACATCAGTGTTTGCCTCTCAAGCGCCCCCTACTAGGGACCTGGCCTGCAACCCACACATGTGTCCTGACTGGGTATTGAACCAGTGACCCTTTGGTTCACAGGCCAGTGCTCAATCCACTGAGCCACATCAGGATATGTCTTTATACACACTGCAGCCAGACTTCTCTTCCCCTCTCCTTGTGCTCATTCCCTTCTCCAGTTCACAGTGTCCCCACGCAGTTCTGACTGCTGGACCCTTGCTGGGCTAGGGGCAAATTGCCCAAGCTCATTCACATGCTTAAATGTAACAACGAATAATAACACTTTGGCAGGTAAATGCCTGGTGCTCTCATAAAGAGGTTATTTATTTCATCTCATTGAGTCCTTACAAGCAGGCTTATGAAAATTGGTGCTTGTCACTCCAACTACCGGGGACACTGAGGCAAAAATGACACAGCCCTTTCAATGCACAGCTGGGATTTGAATCCAGGTGTTTCAGCTGGGAACCTGGGGTCTTTGTCATGGGCTGCACCACCGTGTTTGTTTACAAGTGCCACCTGGACATGCCCACACCTGCTTGTGTACACCTAGTGCAACAGAGTCAAGGACACGTCTGGGCTGGTGGCTGGGTTCCCCTTACATGCATGCACACACACCCTGACACACCCAGACCGAGTGTGCAGTTTGAACACCACTTTCTGACTCATACGCATCCTCAGGTACCTCTCGTACATTTTCCCCTGCCCCCCGCCCCCCGCCCCCAATAGCTCCGGCTTGGAATCTGCAGACGCTGGAGGTCTTCCTAGTCCTCTGTCTCCCAGGGGGGAATGAATGTGGCTGTCCAGGCAGTGGCAAAGGGAGGAATAAAGGGTATAAAGGGGCCCACTGGGTGCCTTGCAGGCTGGTGTGCCGACCCTTCAAGGGTCAGGAGAATCTGTCCTATGGCTCTGTGAATGGCCACACTTGTCTCCTTTTGAGAGATGAAACTCCAACACGAGGACACTCAGAGACAACTATAGGAAGGACAAGACTTCAGGATCTCTTCTGGCTTGTGTCCTCTGACATCCTGTCCCCTAATCTGTACCTGGGTGTAGCTGTGCTGGGAGGAGCTGATGTCACCCCATGGGGGCAGGAATTGCGGGGTGGAGACTGTTAATCCCCAGTCTGGCCAGCCCAACCTCTGCCCAGGGTGCCCACTAATTTCCAAAGCAAACAGCAGGCAGTGCTGGGCCACTGCCGGCCTAATCTGCTTCCTACCAGCCTGGGGCTCTCCAAGAGGCCTCCTGGTTCCCACGCTCTGAGCCTCAAAGGAAGGGGATATATGTCCCTTCCACTCTACGCATTATGGTAGGGACAATCCCTACCTACAGAGAGCTAAAAAAATCACCCCTTACTGAAGACTAAAAAAACACCTTTGCTAAAAAACACCTTTGTTAGGTCTGTTGTGACTGTGCCCCTTTAAACATGACACCTTTGTGTAATGTACAACTTGTGCAATGCTATATGGAGGCACTGACGCCCAAACCCTTGTATGGTTTAAGATAATTTTTATTGAGGTGCGAGAGGCGGGGAGAGGTGGGGGCAGCTACAGCCTCCCAAGCCCCACCAGGGGGAACAGAACCCCTCCCTGTCTCCCACCTTCCAAATGGCTCCCCCTGTACTATGGGGGGGACTCTGTGCAAACTCTGCCCCAATGGGGTGGAGGGTGGGTGGAAATGGTAGCAGCTGGGGCTGGCAGCGGTGTTACTGGGCGCTGGGTGGCTTGTAGGGCTCCAGGAGGAGGGCAGAGAAGGTGTTGACCTTGTCTGCCCCACGCACCTCATGGGGCAGCAAAGGCAGCTTCACAATGTGGAAGTCTTCGTACAGGTCCTCCATCTGTGGCCAGGGCAGGGGGCAGAGGGCAGAGGTCAGGGGGCTGGATGCAGGACAGGGACAGAATACCGGTAGATTGAAGGGATTAGGCTGGGGGCCTCCCAGGGTCAGAGGCTTCACAGGGTCACAGGGTCACAGGTAGGAGCACCAGTGAGGTCAGAGATCCCTGGGCTGGACCTCCGGTTCCCCAGGGCCAGAGGTTTCCAGGCCAGCCTTGCCACAGTCCTCCAGTGCTGAACTGAAAGGAGAGGTCTGAAGTAGGGGTGAAGGGGTAGGAGGCTAGGGCAGAGGTCAGAGGTTGGATGAAGCACAAAGAGCATGGAGTAAATGGCTGGCAGGCTGTGGTTAGGCTGGGCCCGGTCCCCACTGCCAGGATCAGAGGTGTAAGGGCTGGGTGGGCAGCTGGGCATGCACACCTGGTCCAGGTACTTGGCCTGGATCTTGTGGCGGGCCTCACACATCTTGCAGGGCTTCTCGGGGTCTGGGAAGACAAGCTGGTTGACAATGATGTTGTGTGTGTCAATCTTGCACTTGGCCAGCTCCTGGATCAGCCGCTCTGTCTCATACAGGGACAGGAACTCAGCAATGCACACGCAGATGAAAGTCGTCTGCTCCTGCAGGGCATTGAGAGAGGATAGTGAGGGCCAGGTGCTATCCCTATCCCCAAAGCCTCTCATTGTCCACCTGTCCCATGACTCACAGGGTCCTTGAACTGCTCGCTGACAGAGCGAATGACGGGCAGTGTCTCCTCCAGCTTTGAGGCCAGTTGGTCTGCATTCATATCCCCCAGGCCCAGCATGTTGCACATCTGGGGGAAGGGCATGGGAGGGCTTGAGGCTTACACCTGGGGCTGTTATACCTCCTGGGTTGGGGGCTTGCTAAACACCCAGGGTGGATGGCTCCTAACACCTCCCAGTGTTTAAAGGTGTGGGCCCTTGAGCAGCCTGGAGGGGTTGAATCCCAACTCTGCCTCTTTTGGGGGACCATGGCCAGGTGGCTTGACCACCTGAAGGCTTAATTTCCCCATACGTAGACCTTACCTCCAACAGCCGGTATGCTAGATGAGTTCATACATGTCACATTCTCAGAACAGTGCCTGGCACAGAGTAAGTGCTCTACAAATATGACTACCTGAAGCATAGGTCCCCACTGGGGGACCACACACACCACCTACGGGCTGGGATGTGTATATAAGTGTGTTTGTCAAGTTGTCATGCTAATAATAATAAATGGTAACACTCACATGCTCTCCATTAGACAGGCAAGGAAGGTGAAGCCCAGAGGAATTAAGTGACTTGCCTCTGTCACAGTTATGTCACACTGGAGTGCAAAGCATTTGAACCTGGGCCACCTGGCTGTGAAATACATGCTTTCAAGCTCTGTCTGGGGCACCCAGTAGGCGGAGGTGGAGACACTAAGTCCCCTAGTGGGGGGAATAGTCCTCCCATAATGAAGAGCCACCCCCCCATTAGGAACTGTGGACCCAGAGGGACTGTGTGTGGGAAAAGCCTTTGTTACCACATATCTGGGGGCCTGGGAACTGGCTCCCACTCAGGGGACACCTGGATGCCCTGGGGCCCTGCCTGCCTGTGAGATGAAGGGGCTGATCTGGTTCTTGATCTGCATGAGGCGGCCTAAGCCCCGCTCCACGATGGTGGGAAAGTTCAGCAGCCTCAGCGTGTGGCCCGTGGGCGCCGTGTCAAACACCACCACTGAGAAGTTCATGCCCTTCACAAGCCTGCAGGGAGATGACGGTCAGGCCCACTCTGCTCCTTCTTCCATCCCAGCCCCAGGCAGCACTAGCCCGCTGGACCTGACCTCATGACCTCCGCATAGCTCATGGCCTCGTCGATGCCTGGGAAGGCGCTCATGGCTTCCTGCATCATCTTCTTGCCCATGCTTAGCATGTTGTCCTCCTCAAAGAACTCGTCAGGCAGCTCTGCCACGCCAAGGCTGGGGTCAATCTCCTGGGGGGAGGTGGCAAGGGATTGAGACTCAGGATGCTGCTGCTGCTATTCCCAGGGCTTTCTCACCTGGGTGGGCGCCAGGGGAGCCCGTAAAAGGCCCCAACCTTGGTCCTGCATCAGAGCCCTCAGGGAAGAGACTGGGAAACTCCCTAGGTATCATGGCCTTCCCTCAAGCACTAAGGTCTCCAGATTGCACAAACAGTCAAACTATTTCAAAAACAGATGGAAACTATGAATTTCGATCAGTGCCCCCAGAGGGAAGCCAAAGCCTGCTGCAGGGCTTTTGTCAGCTATTTCCCCCACCCAGGCCCCCGACGGCTTCCAGATTATTCCTCTAATGTGAGTCTTCCCTCACCATCTCATCTAATGGTGCACCTGCAGCCCCCACTGCCCTGCCTTCCTTTCTCCTTAACACCCAGCCTTTCCTCACATGACTTACTCATCACTTTTCTCAACTCTCCCCCAAACCAGAATGTCAGTCCCACAAGGGCGCCAGAAACTGTATGGTACACAGGAGGCCCTCAACATGGATGTGTAGTCTGCAAAGGTATGACCACCCCCGATGTCTCGGGCCAGTCCTGGACTTGATGGCTCGTTCTCTATCCTCCTATGGCACCTCATCTTGGTGGCTTCATGGGTCCTGTGATGAAGCTCTCCTCACTGACCTTGGAGGTCCATTTCCCTGCATGGAGCTTGCCTACCCATCACCCCCAACCCCCATCACACCCAATTATACCCTTGATGGGTTATTCCTAGTCACTGCATCATCTCTGAGCTCACATACCCCATTCTCTGACCTGGGCCTCTTTGCCTCCTGTCTCAGTTATTTAAACCTCTTTGGGCTACCTTGTCCCCTCTCCCCAGACCCCAGTTCACTGTTGGTGTCCCTCTTGGCTGGCACCCATATCCAGTCCAGGCTCCATAGGTTGCTGCTACAAACACTCCCTTTTCCCTCTGTGGCTGGCAAAATCCCCATCCTGGTTATTGCTGGCTCTCTGGTGTGGCTGCACTGAGCTGAACATCAGGGGAACACACCTGACAAATAGTTCCCACCTTGCTCCCTATTTCTAATCACAAACTCCTATGGGGACTTGGCAGCCAGACAATCTACCCTCAGGAGTGTTTATGTCACATCTTCAAACTCTCCTCAAACCCCTCTGTTCCATTTTTTCCTTGTTCTCTGTTGAGACGTGTGCCTCACCTGGGTCTCAAAGACAAAGAAAAGCCCCTGGCTGTCAATACCCTTATCTCTGGGAAATGTCCCAGTCCCCCTGCCTTGCCTCCCCATCCCCAGCCCTGAGAAGCCAAGTCATGGGTCTGTGCACTGGACGGAGCTCATTCCCACCTGAGGACAGTCCTCTGCTGGCATCCTCACTCCTTCCTGCAGTATCATTTGTCCCTCCCCACTGTTGGAGCATTTACATTAGCAAACAAATATACTCCAGCAGCTCCTTTCTAAAAAAAGAAACCTTCCTTAACCCCTCTTTCATTTCCCTCCTGTGATGACTCCCTTTCTCAGCCCCCATCATGACAATCACTGTCTCCACCTTCTTGCCTCATGAACTCCAGCCTGGCTTTTGCCCCCCACTCCCAGGGTAGTCCCTTTAAAAGTGATATGCCTGCAGGAGTGGACAACCTCTTCCTGCCCAAGTTCCTTTGTCCTCCTGAAGACCCGGAGCCCATACCTTCTGGCTTTCTCACCTGGCTGGTGGCTCCTTCTTGGCCTTCTTCACTATTGAACCCTAAATGCAGATGTGCTCTCAGACTGTTTCTGGGCCTCTCTGTTCTCACTCTCCTTCACTTACACAGCTTTAAATACCATCCTTGGGGCCATGGCCCCCAAATCAATGTCAACTTCTTCTCAGCTCCAGGCTCACATGTTAAACACTTAGATGTCCAGTGGGCACCTTGGACTCCCTGCAGTCAAAATGGAATTCCTGATTTGTCTCTTCTAAACCTGCTCGTGTCCTAGTCTTCCCCATCCCAGCTGCTCAAGAGCCAACTAAGAGATGCACTTAATTCATTTCTTTCCCTCACATTACAACCAAGCAGATGCAGCACTTTATTTCCAAGCAACATCCTGATCTAGCCATTTCTCCCCCAACATTCTTCCTCCATCATCTTGGCTGCTATCATCTCTTGCCTGGTCACTGACCCAAGCTCCTTGTTAGTCTCCTTACTTCCAGCCTCAACTTGCAATCTGGTCTCTGCATGGCAGCCATATAGCATTTCTGAAAAAATGAATTTGGCTATGACATTGCTCTGCTCAAAATGAACAGCTTCCTATTAAACTTGGAAACAAAGCCAAACTGCTCCCAGCAGCCTACAAGGTCCTACACCATGTGGCTCTGACTGACCTCTCTGCTACCTCCCTCCCCTTGCACACCAAGCGCCAATCACTCTGGCTTCCTTTCGGCTCAACAACCACTCCTCAGTCATTTCCCTCTGGGTATGGTGAAGAAGGGGTGAAACTGGAGAGACAAAGGATGTAGCCTGGGCAAGACACTGTAGTTGATGGTAGGTGTTCACAGGAAAGGCCTGAATGAGCCTCTGCTGGAGTGGAGAGCTAAGCCTTACTCTACTCACCATAGCAAAGAGGTTGTCATAGCCTTTGACCTTGGTGGGCACCTTGGAGAACTTCTGGTCAAATGCATCGGAGATGTTGTGGGCTGGGTCTGTGGAAATGATCAGAACACTCTCCCGCCCTTTGGACAGCTGGACTGCCAGGCTGCAGCTGGGCAAGGAAAAGGTCGAAAGGCAGAAAGTAAGGGATCAGTCTGAACTTTCTAGGTCTGCATGGGGTGATGCAGGGCCCAGAAGCAGGGGCCTTGAGAGTATGGGTAATTGTGGGATCAAGCCTCAGTACCTTCAGAGGGGCCCTCTTAAACCTCATCTATGACTGCTGTATCTGGCTAGAGTGGTGACGTTCAGTCTGGCCTGATGCCTACTTCTTTGCTGGCATAGAGTGGCATGGTCCGGCTGTTCAGTCAGCATAGATAAGGAGGTCCCTTGCACGTCCTCAATGCTAAGCTAAGGAGTCCTCTGAACCTTCTGCTAAACTCAGGATGGTTCAGTCCATTTGCCCAGGATAATTTGCCCCAGGGATCCCTCCCCCCCCTACCACCTTATTGGAATACCCTAATCATGTGCCCTTACCCCCTTCTCCCACCCCCACCCCATCCCCACGTGGGCATAATGTAGCAAGGTTCACCAGACTAGGATGGCTTGCTCCGGTGCCACTCCCCCTACTCTGAGCTCACTCTGGCGTGATCCAGTTGATTGGGACATCTAAGTGCTCTGATGGCCCCCGTGCACTGGGTTCAATGTGGTTCGGTCCCTGAGCCCCAACGCGGATGGTCCAACTCAGAGGTTGCCAGGCCTGCATTCAGGAGTTATCTTCCATTTGTTCCAGGAAACTTCAGGAGAATACAACTCGGAAGACCCCGGCCCAGCCCCCATGTCCGGCTCAGGGTGGAAGAGCCGGTCACTGGCCTCCCCTTTGCCCAGTGGTACATCCCACCGGTGTTCCCGGCCCCTGCCACAGCCTCTTTACCTGCAGGTGGTCTTGCCAACGCCACCCTTGCCCCCGACGAATATCCATTTAAGGCTACGCTGCTCGATGATGTTGCTAAGAGTGGGTTCCAGCGGCTCCACATCAGGCGCATCCTCGAACTCTTCTGTCTCAACCCCCCACCCGGCCACCCCTGCCGCCATCTTGGAACCGGCTCACGTGACCAAGCGGAGCGCACCACACAAAGCACCTACAGGGGAAATTCCTTATCTTATCTCCGTCAGGTCTAGGGACCGGAGTTAACTCCCTTTAGCCTGACTTTTAGGCGCGAATAGAAGCTATATCTTCAATGTTTTCGTTTTCTAGGGTTTGCCTTGTCAATCTGTCGACTATGTTTCCTCAAAGACGCCCCCTGATAATTAACTTATTGGCACGTCCCAGAATACTCCCCTTTACTGATTGGGCTCTGTCCCGCAGCTCTCTTCTCATTGGCTACGTCTTTTTTTTTTTTTTTTTCACTTTTACCAATCACTCTCACGCCCCGGTAGCCTCCAACCTCTCCTTAGCAACCAGCCAAACACCCAGTTCAGGCCCTTTCGGAGTTGCATCCCAGGTCCTCCCTGGCCGGACTCCATAGGCTCAACCTCCTGTCGGTCTTTCCCCCACTATACTCTAGATTGGGTCCCAACCCCCTCTTAGGTCCGTCTCCTGTGAGCCAGATGGCTCCTGACGCAAACCAATCCTAGACGAATTGTTGTTTAGTTGGCTGAAGACAGATCCCGGAGCTGTGAGTGGGCCAGAGGGAGAACACTCCAGTTGTGAGCAAAGTCTGCAGACCCTTACCCAGTGCTCCCTGAACCCCCATGGGGTCAAACTAGGGCAGGGACTATACCTGCAACTGCGCTCCTTGTCTTGGAAGTGACCCTATTCCAGAAAACCTCCTCGCGGTTTGCTCCTTGTGGAAGGGAAGACTCCAGCGAATTCCGTTTGAACTTCTGCGCTGGGTAGAATTACAAACTGGGGCCCATGTCCTTGGCGGACACTCTTAAACTAGGGGACTCCAGTTTAGAATACCTACGGCTTCATCTGAGTATTCTAGCCCATAAAATAATAACCTGATTCTCAGCTGGGGACCACAGCTCCACAGAGCTAGCTGTGTCCGCATTCCCAAATGAGAGCTCCATCCCAGAGATAGGACCCCAACCTAGAACACTCTCGTTTCTAATTCGGGGATCCAGGCTCTCTATACCTAGTTAGGGACCTATGTTCCAAGGTGTCAGTTGAGCACACAGCCTCAAAGGGAATGGGATACTTCTCACTGAGGTTATCTCTGGTTCCAAGAAGGGGATTCTAGTCCTGGAAATCTATGCGACCCCAGTCCCAAGCGGAAGCCTCACTCCGGAGAGCCAGCTACGGCCCTAGACGATGGCCTCATTTCCCGGCAGTCCGTGTCTGCGAAACGCCTGCCCAGGTCTGAGCTGTTGGGTCAGCTGCGCCAGATTTTACCCCTTATTCGTCCCGCCCCTCAGGTCCCGCCCCCATTGCGGACGCTTCGGGGCTAGATCGCTCTTCCCGGCATGCACTGCACGGGACCTGACAAGTCGGGCGCCCAGCGCGGGGCCGAGCAACCTTCCCGGAGTCCTTTGCGCGGCACCTAGTGACAAAATGGCCGCCCGAGGGAGACGGGCGGAACCTCCGGGCCGGGAGGCCGCGGGCCCTGCGGCGGGCGGTGGCGGCGGGAGCCGATGGGCTGAGTCGGGGCCCGGGACATCGCCTGAGAGCGGGGATGAGGAAGTGTCGAGCCCGGTGTCTGGTGGCGTGAACTTGTTCGCCAACGACGGCAGCTTCCTCGAGCTGTTCAAGCGGAAGATGGAGGAGGAGCAGCGGCAGCGGCAGGAGGAGCCGCCCCCGGGTCCGCCGCGACCCGATCAGCCAGCTACCGCCGCCGCCGCGGGTCCTGGGGATCCGAAGAGGAAGGGCGGCCCGGGCCCTACGCTCAGCTTCGTAAGGAGCCGCGGGGGTGGGGGCGGGCGCCAGGGCCTTCCTTGGCAGGGAGAATCGGGCCCAAGAGAGGGGATCGGGATCCAGGTATACCCTCCAGTCCCGATGAGGGGGCATCCAGGTCACCCGCTGAAGATGCGAAACCTGGATTCCCGACGAGAGAGGTTTGGGGGCGAACTTGGGCACTCCCGTAGCCTGCTCGCGAGAACCGGGAGCCGGGGATGGGAAACTAGGGAACTAAGGATTCCTGTTTGAGTGGTACTGGAACTGTGGATACCGGGACAATGACCCACTATTAGGAACGGGAACAAACTCAGATGTAGAGTCTTAAGATGCGTTTGGATTAGGGACTCAGATCTCTTACTATTACCTCAAGAAATTTGCTAGGCTTCCCTGAGTGTCGTTTGTCCAGTGTGTCTGTTGAGCACCTTACCTTGTGTTGGGCATTGTGCTAGGTGTTGGTTAGGCCTTGGTGAACATGACAGAAGATCGCTGCTTTCCTGGAGCATTGGGGATGGCCTACCTTCTTTTTTTTTTTGTATTTGGGAAAATGGACATCATCTTTTCTGATGTGATAAGAGTTCATTGAAGCCATCCTGGAAAAGTGGTTAGCATGGGGCCTGTCTTACAGAAAGGGCTGAACCAGTCATTTTCAGTTGGGGATGATCTTCCCGTGAAGCAAAGTGTGGAGACATTTTTAGTTGTCAAAACTGGGCGGGGGGAGGGGGAGTGCAATTGACATCTGAGTGGAGACCAGGGATGTTGCCCCATATTCTGTAATGCATAAGGCAGCCCTCCTCACGCCCCCACCCACAGCAAAGAATGATGCAGCTCCAAAAGTCTTTAGTGTAAGATTGAGAAGTTTTAGGCTAAATAAATGGTATCTATATAGATTGTTCACTCTGGGCTTGTTTTGTCTCTGGTGTTGAGATCAAGTCCCCATAGTGTGGAGAAAGAAGTTTTGACTTGAGAATAACAGACTGGGGGTCAAGTTTCTTTATCCACCAAAAGTAGGTGTGAGATTAGTCCCATCAGGGCAGGTCACTTAATGCCTGGTTGAGGGGTGGAGAGGGATGATGACTGTCAAGCCTATTGCAGCCGGTGGGGCACCGGAAGCCATCAGTCAGTGGGAGAACATGGAGGACCAGGACAGAAGTCCAGAGTGAGACTTCTGTTTGAGGAAGGGGAAGTGTCAGGAGCTGGGTTGGTGTGAGAATGGTATGGAAGACAAATGCCCCTTCTTGAGTGGAAGTAGCAGTAGTTATTATTGCCTTTTTCATTGTTCATTGAAGGGCTGTTGGGAAAGCACCCTCAAGAGACCAGGCCAGTTTAGGTATGGGGGACACAGTATTGCTTGGTGGTTAAGGATGCTGCTCTGTGGTTTGGACTCCCCTGATCCTGAACCCAGCTCCATCGTTTGCTGTCAGAATGACTGAGGGTACAGGCCTTTCCTTCTCAAAAATGTCTCCTTATATATAAAATGAGGATGGTTGTAACTGCTAAAGTGAAAGGAGACGATACATGCAAAGCACTTGGCACAGGGCTTGATGTACAGTAAGTGCTTAATAAAAGCCTGCGTGGTCACTGCTAGGGGAGGGTGAGGCTTCAGCATGGAGAGTGAGGATGAGCCCAGCCCCACTCATGTGAGGGTTCTTCTCACTCCCTGGGAGGGAGGGCCACCTGGGAGCCCACGACTGCCTGGGCATAACGGGCCCAAGGCAGGTGCTAAGAGTCGCGTGTGCTCCTCTCTGATTGCTGCGCAGGTTGGCCGGCTGGCGGAGCTGGGCGCGGAGTCGGGACGGGCCACCCGGCCGGGCTAGGAAGGTGTAGTGGGCCTCAGCGCCGCCAAGGGCGGGCCCGGCTCCTGTAACCGTTGCAGTCTTCTGTCCCTTCACCCAGGTGGGCAAGCGCAGAGGCGGGAACAAACTAGCCCTCAAGACGGGAATAGTAGCCAAGAAGCAGAAGACGGAGGATGAGGTGAGCCGGCTAGGTGTCTGGGGCTTCCCATGAGGCCCTTCCTTTCCAACCTCTGCACCTGGCTAATCAGCCATGTCCCTCCCTGTCTAGCATCTGGGCCTTGGATGGGGGTACTGGGTTGGGGAGGAGGGCTTTCAACAAGGTCCCCAGATAACTTGACCCTGAATGTCTTTACCCCAAACCCAGATCTCTGGGGTGGTGACACTGGGGGTGGTTCAGCTGTCTCAGGACAGTCCTGACTCCAGTTCCTGACCTTCTTGGCATTTCCTTTCCAACCTCCTGTATGCCCCTACAGGTATTAACAAGTAAAGGTGACGCGTGGGCCAAGTACATGGCAGAGGTGAAAAAGTACAAAGCCCACCAGTGCGGCGATGATGATAAAACTCGGCCCCTGGTGAAATGACCCCCTTCTTCTCCCGCCTGCCCATGGCCTGGGACTCTCTGCGATGTACATAACTATTTAATGCGGCAGCAGTGGCGGCAGCCTTTTCCCCCAAGGACTTAAACACAGAAGGAAACCAAGATGCTTCCCGCAGCCGTGGACAATTCTCCAGGACTCTTTTTTACCTTGAGCACTTGCCTCCTGAGACTTCATAGAACAGTGGTTTACTGTCCCCTTTCTCCCACCTCCTTGCTCTCTCTGGCTCTTTCTTGTCTTCCTTTCCTCACCCTCCCTTTCCTCTCCTTAGCCATCACTTCTGGGAAGTAAAGAACTTGACTTAGTGCTAGAGCTGTGTGATTGGTTTGCCATCTTTGTTCCTTCCGACCTAAACCCTTCCTTGCTGTGCTGACCAGAGCCTGGATCTGGCTTGGTGGTGGTGGCTGGGGGGGCTGGGGGGTGATGGGTGATGGGGGGTCCCCATCAGCAGACCTGGACCCTTCACCAGGACCCATTTCCTCCTACCCCTGACTGTACCCCCCTGACTGAGCCCCTGTTGTTCCTCATGTTCAGGGGCTCTTCACAGGCCCATTTAACTGGACTAAAGCTGTCATTCAGCAGATACTGAGCACCTACTGTGTGCCTGGGCTGGGTCCTGGGGCCCCAGAAGAGACCACTCAGGCTCTCTGTCCTTGTGGAAGGAAACACAAAAAGGGGAAGCCATTTTGGGAGGTGCCTGTCAAGATGTACAGGGTAGAGTCTGGGGAAGGGTGTCTATTTTCACTGACATCTGATCAGGGACCTGAGGGAGGTGAGGAAACGAGTTCCAGGAAGAGGGAACAGCCAGTTTAAAGACAGGAGGGAGAGTATGTGGAACTTTGAGGAAGCCTTTATCACTGGAGCCAGGTGAGTGAGGAGGGTGGGTGTATTACATACAGAACCTTTTATGTTAGGGTGAGAACTTGGAACTTCATTCTTAATTAAAAGAAAGAAGCCTTTTGGTGGTTTTGAGCTAAGAAGCAACCCTGGTGTGTCTTACATTTTAACAGGATCTGCCTGGTTGAAGTGGGGTTGGGGTGCAACCTGGGAGATGGGAGGCTGGGTCATGATCTGGGGAGCTAGGGTGCTGGGCTGTTGGCAGTACAGGAGGTGAAGAGGGCTAGGATCTGGATTCCACTGCAGCTGCTCTGTCCTAGCTATTTGCAGACCTTCCAGGGAGGCTGGGATTGGCCCTGCCTGGCTGTGTACATGATTAGGAGGATTACAGGGGTTTGTCCCACCTGTAGATATAACTTGGCATGTTAGGGTACAGAGTGTCCTAAAGGAAGTCTGACTCCCTAGTGTTCCTCTAATGCTCCTTGTACTTCTGGCCCCTCCTGGCCCCTTTGTTCATCCCGTTGGAGCTGGAATGTTTTAAGATGCCATTGCCTTTCAACCCCTGCTCAGGGGCTCCCAACCCCTAATAGACCTGGGGCTCCTGACATGGCCCCACCTTTTAGGCCTTCCCAGGCCCGAATGCTGAGCAGCTCAGCACTCCAGCCTGTCCTAGGGTCAGGTTCCTGTCTCCTATCAGGGGAGGAGCAGGACTTGGGGGATCATGGTGGTTACTGGGACCTGCAGAGGCAGAGGGAGGAAGGGCAGACTGCTGTGGTCCTGGGAAAAGGCTGAGATGGCAGCTGCTTGGCTTCAGACTCTGCCAGAATCCAGCCTGTGGGGATTGGGGTGGAACACCGTGGAGGTGACATTGTAGTTGGGGAGAAACAGACAATAAACAAAATAAAAACTAGAGTGCATCATACGGTTATACATTCTAGGGGAAAAAATAAAGTTTGAAATGGGCACTGAGATGAGAGTGGAAAAGAGGGCAATTTTATGTAGGTCAGGGATGGCCTGCCTCCCTGAGAAGGCAGCATTTGTCCCAAGTTCTGAAGGAGTTGAGACTGGCAGTGAAGACTTTGGAAGTGTTCCAGGTGGAACAGCAGGTGCAAAGACCCCAATCTGAAACCATACCTGACTTGAAGAGGAGGCAGCAAGTAGGCTTTGGAGCAGGAGACATATCCCCTCTCATCTGCTAATACACAGTAAAGCTTGTCCGGTTTATTTTCCACATTGGCTCAAAGTGCTCTTCCCACTTTGGGAATGCTAAGCTGGCCCATGTGTTGACTTTAGCCTTGGGGATGTAGAGTGTGTAGCCAATAGAGCCATTTCTGTTCCTCCCTCAAAGCCATCAGCAGTGACTGGATCTTTAAAAAACACATAAGGGAGAAAGTAGGTCGCCTCTGCAGCAGCTCAGCCTCTAGTTTGAAGTGTCAAGAGGCAGGAGGAGCTGATGGAATCCTGTCACCTCCCTTCATGGTGCTCACCAGCTCTGAACAGGAAAATCTGAAAGGGGAGGAAAACCAAATACCAGGTTTTGGTGAGTCACATAGCCCCTTGCTTCAAACTATTCTGATACCTGGAGCTGTGTGATCTTGGATAAGTCACTAAGCCTTTATGTGGTTCAGATTCTTCCTCTATAAAATAGGGGTAAAATGCAGAACCATCTCTAGAGTCAGATTCAAACACAAGGGCAACGTTCGTATAGTAATGTTAACCCTGACATTATTGCAAACAACTGTCAATTCTGGGTGAAGCAACTGGCTTCTGTTTGGTGGTTGTGTTTGAGAAATGCTGAGCTTTTTTATTTTTATTTTTTAACACAACTGTTGAATTTAGTAAAATCCATGTATGCAGTGTTTAACAGACAAAAAAAATGTACAAATTCCTCAACATTCAGGCAATGAACTCTATTCTCAGAAGTGTTTTGCGAGAAGACCAAATTCTTTGCTCTCCCTCCAAAAACGACAACAAAAAACTGTTTATACTTCTGAAAATGATGCACGTATTATGTCACCTCTCAAGAACAATCCTGTTGAGATCCCAAAACCTTCGGAGAGTGAAGAAAACCTCCAGAATGTAAAGACTCATCATCTTTAAACACGGGTGCAGTGTGGTAACATGCTCAGGCAGGGAGGTAAAGTGATAAGCGTTTGTCTCCTATCTCAGATTCATGGTTGGGCATCAGCTCCTTGAGTTTCATTTGCCCTGAGAGCTTCTACATGAAGTAAGTTTGTTGTGTACATGGCTGTTCAGAGAATTACAATGGGAAATCTCCTGACTGGCGGTAGGTGCTTAAGAAATGGGGGCGGGGAGTGGGGGTTGCCCGTCAACACACGGGCTGGAGAGAAGAAAGACTTCCATCAGTCCCAATACTGTGAGCCATACAGGCAGCAGGGGCCACATTATTCCACCCCCATGCACGCTTCCCTGGAGGCTTGCACAGAGTCCCTAGAAACTGCGTGTTAAAAAAGGAGGTGAACCTTCATAAATTCTTTCCTGCGTCTCTAACCCTTATATGGGGTAGCCCCCCGCCCTAAGCAGAAAACTACCTGTCCTACGCTCTCCGGAAACCTCCAAACCTAGTGTCAGCCGCTCAGCCTAATTGCTCTACGCCCACCTTCAGGGCTCTCCAGATACCTGGGTTTTGAGCTCGTAAGCCCGCGCTCCAGGCTGGAGGGAATTTGTAGTTCAGGCAAGTTCCAGCGCTACTGAAGGCCGTTGCGCAGGCGTAGGCAGTGGCTCTGGGCACGTGTCTCAGGTCCGAAGTTTGTCCAGCCTAGCCAGCTGAGGTGGGAATCCCTGGAATCCAGCCGTCAGGCTGGGGCTCGGTGTCAGTGGACCTTTCCCAAAAACAGTGCTCCGCGAGAGATGTCTTAGGTTCCTGTATTTTATGGACGAACAGAGCTGGGACTGACTTTGCCAAAGGGAGGTGGACTGAGAAACCGATCTCCTTCCTCCATGCTGGGGCAAAAATTGACCTTGTGCCTCTCTCAAAGCCAAAAAGTTTCTCGGGGCAGGGCTGGATTGTTCTTTGGGATTAGAGCATTAGTTGATTAAATTCAGTAAATATTGGTTTAGGGAGGGGCTGACTATAGTGAAAGGATGGCCTTGGGCTCCTCCCGGTAGATCCCATGTTATAAAAGAATTTTGGTGATGCTTACCTTACCTCTAATCCAGCAAACCACATATTTTTATACCTATTTGACAGGTGGGGAAACTAAGGCTGTGAGTGGCAGGAGGGAAAACTGGTCTTCCAGAGTCTGCAGCCCCACCCTGCTCTTAAGAGGAAGAGGGCCCCACTATGTCCTCAGACGGTGCAAAGGTCACAAAAATGTCTTCCTTCATGACCTGCCTCTGCCTAAATTTCCTGGGCTGTCCCGCGTTATTCAGCCTCAAGTGGGGAAAGGGATTAGGCCGTTTTGATCTGGCGTTTATTTTATTAGTTAATATTTTTATATTCTTGTGAGTTTTTTCATATCCTTGTAAAAATTATTAAACAGTACTGGAAAATATGTAACCTAAAATGTAGCAGGTTTCTGTAGAAAGCCAGCCTGTCTCAAGCATTCCTTTTGTCTGGCTTTTTTTTTTTTTTTTTTGTCTCGGGTATAAAGTCCACTCCAGGCTGTCCCCTCCACTCCTTCCTTGAACACAGACTGTCCTTCTACAGAGTATCCTCTGGGTGCGGAGAAGGAGGCACAGTTCAATGCTTAGAGGAGGGGGTGACAAAGGCGCAGCTAGCTCTGGGTGAGAGGTTCCCGTGTCTATGACACCTCAAAAGTCCCCACGCGCCACCGAATTCAGCTCCCAGCAAAGAGCTTCCGCGTGAGAGCCGATGAGAAAAACGAGACGCTAGGAGGATCGGCCGGCCAGAGAGGCCGAGAGAGCGCGAAAAGAGAGCGAGAGGGAGAGAGAGACGCTAACTCCTGGCCACGTGATCCGACCTCGGCGGGGTCTGGGTCTCCCGGGTGGCAGGCCACGTGTGAAGGCTCCTTTTTTCCAATTGGCTCTGCTAGGCCAATTTGAACGGTTTACGGAAGCCGCCGTGGCTCAAATACGTGTGCGTTTTTTCTTTTCTTTTTTTTTCCTTTAATTCCCTCGCTTTGGCTCCCTCCTTCCGCTCGAGTCTCACGAGAAGGCGCAGCACAAGGCGCTGCCGCTGCTCTCCCCAGCCCGGTAAGTGGGCCTTACCCACAGCCAGGTCATCTCGGTTCCGGTTTGCGTTGAACCCCGCCAAGGTCCGTACCTGTGCAGCGTGCGGCCCGGGCATTAGGGCCGCTCCTGACCCGGAAAGGCCGAGAACCCGGTTGGGCCCGATTCTCCAGGCAGCTAGAATGGGCAGAGGGTGGGGGCTGGGGGAAACGGAGCCGGGCTTAGGGGGTGGGGCCTCGGAGCTCGGCGAGATCCCGGTGTCGTGAGAACCCGGCCAGTGGGGCGCCTGGGGTCGGGCTAGAGGGGACCTAATTGGGAGACGTCGCAAGGATCGGGTGTGTGTGGGGGGGGCGGGGGAGGCTGTTTGGGGGGCGCACTGAAAAGTTGGGGGGTCTTGCTTGGCTCTGTTAGGGAGACTTCGGCCTGGAGGGCTTTGCTGGGTCCGACTATAAGGCGTCTCTGGGATCCGTTGGGAGGTGTGCTGGAAGGGGAGAGTGCTCGGGGCCATGCTTAATTGGCGAAAGCCGCAGAGATCCGATGAAGGTTGCTAGCTCGTGGAGGTGGTGGGGCTTGGCCAGACTTGATTGGGGAAGAAGCAGAGATCCGTCAGCAGGAGATAATGCTGACTTGGGGCGGAGGGCGGGAATGGAGGAGGCTTGGGCAGACCTGATTGGGGAAAGGGACGGGGGCTTGTCAAGGGGGCTCCTGTCGCGGAGTGGATATACTTGACGGGCTCTCCTTCGGAGAGGCAAAGCGGACCAGTCTTCTGGCCTGATGAAGGGGAATCGCTGAACGGGGTCTGGCTAGGCCAGAATGGGGGAAGTCTGGCATCCGGCTGAGCTTGGCGGTCCGAATGCGAGGAAGCGGCAGGGATCAGGTGCAGCTGTGGAGGCTCAGAGACTAGACTGGAGCAGAGGAGGCGTCAGGGATGTGGGGGAGCTTGAGGGCTGGATTTTGGAAGAAGGTAGATCTTTAGGGACCGTACCTGCACCCGGGAGACCACGGGACCGGAGCGTTATCGAGGCCTGGGGCAGGGCACTAGGATGAAATGGCTGGGCCCTCTCCTAGCGGCTTGCTAGGGACGCGGAAGCCTTAGGGCCTGCAGCCTGGAGTAGATGCAGGGGCTGCCCTGGGAAGAAGGCCCGGCCACGGCCTCCTATGCCTCTCTTTCACAGCACCCCGCCCGTGCTCCCGAGCCCACAGGAGCCCGTGACTGCGTGTGCCGTGAATGGTGGCGGGGACCCTTCACTTGGGTTGGCTGGATTGGTGGCCTCTGCCTACCCGCTGAGAGCAGTCCCTGCATTCCACTTCCGCTGACCCTGGCCCCTACCCCTGCAGCTCGCCTTGTGTCATGGACTGGCAGCCAGATGAGCAGGGCCTGCAGCAGGTCCTACAGCTGCTCAAAGACTCGCAGTCACCCAATACAGCCACTCAGCGTATTGTGCAGGATGTATCCTTCCTTTTGGGCCTGGGGGAAGGGGCGGACATCTACATCCCCTAAAGGCCACAGAGGATAGGGCCCACCCCCTACCCCCCAAGACTGCTGTGGTTAGGAGCTGGCCTTGGCAGAGAGTTAAGGATTAGAATTTTGGGGCCCCATTCCCAGAAGAAATGTGACTGTGGGGCAGGGGAGGAATGACACCTTTAGTTGGGACTCAGCTTTGGTTTAGGTTCATGGTTAAGATTTTTGTTTCAATTGGTTGTTTAAAATATTATAAGTTAAACTTTAAAAATATTTCAAGCACTGACAAGTTTCACTTGAAAACATGGACCTGCTAACTCTCTCCTGCTCTGGCCAGATCTTCAAGGGTGGTGGGGAGCTGAGGCATGCTTCCCCACATCCTGGATGAATTTGACGTGCCTGAAAAGTTGCATTGTTCTGGGCATGGGTATTGACAGGTGGAGTCCCAGGAGCTCGCTACCTGGTCCCAGAGGTCAGAGGTACTATTAGCTACATGGCAGTAAGGCGGCTCCACCTGGGGAAGGCCCTTGTCTCCCAAGTCCCTTAACAACCTGGCAGAAACTCAAACAACTGAACCAGTTTCCTGACTTCAACAACTATCTGATCTTCGTCCTGACCAGACTCAAGTCAGAAGGTATGATACCCTTGATGCCCCTCCATGCAGGCTAGACCCTGTTCTCTCTCCTGTAGTCCTGAGCCTCAGCCCTCTTCCTGCAGATGAGCCAACTCGTTCTCTCAGTGGTCTCATCCTTAAGAACAACGTGAAGGCACATTATCAGAGCTTTCCACCACCTGTGGCTGACTTCATCAAACAAGAGTGTCTCAACAACATCGGTGATGCCTCCTCACTCATCCGAGCCACCATAGGTAAGTGGGGGGCAGTAGGAGTCAGCCTGTGATGACACCCTGTGCTCTCACTCTCAGCCAAGAAGCGTCTCAGAATGTTAAGGGTATTGATTCACTGTGGATAATAGAACTATTATTGTCGCCGTTTTGCAGATGAGGAAGCTGAGGCACAGAAGGGTCAAGGGACTTGCCTTGTAAGTGGCTGAGCTCAGAAGTGACCAGTGCAAGTCCATACTCTGAACCACTCCCTCCTGAAACCTCTGTTCTTGTTTCTGAGGCAGTTACTTAATGTCCTGAGTTTTATGTTTAGATCCTGAGAAGGCAGCAGGTTAAAATCAGCTCCCTGCTCTTGTGGAACTGGGTGTCCTTAATGAGGTAGCTTTGCCTTGGAGCCTTCCTGATTCCTGGAAGGCTGCCTGAGGTAGTTAACATAAGGATGACTAGAATTTCCCAGCAGTTTATCTTAAGCCTTTTCACTGCTGATAAACACCAACTCTACTGTTACCATTTTTCAGTTTAACTTCCCTTTCCAGTGAGGTTAGTTGACATATGATGACTTACATTTTTTTCTTTAAAATCTTTGTTAACTTTTAACACTTGCTTTTATAAGGATGTTGTATGTAACTTTTAAATGAAAGACAAATGTGCTTGCCCTGAAGGGAAGGTAGTCTTAAAATGCAGTAAAGACAGAAAAATAGTGTTAGATTTGAGATAGATATCTTGGGGCCTGCTGCTTCTGTTAAAAGAGACCCTCAACCCTGACAGTACCTCCCTCTGATGCCAGCAGAAAGACCTGGACTTATTAAGCTCCCTCTTACTGTCAGGTTCTGCTCTAGTATTTGAGTTAAGGTCACTGAAGTTTCCCAGTAGCCCTACTAGGCCTGTGGTCTTTGTCCCCATCGAGGCACAAAGAGGTTGGGTAATGTGGCTAAACATCACACAGACAGGGAGGAGCCTGGGACTGTCTTCACAGTCTACCTCAGGGAGCACCTTTCCTAGCAGACCTGTGAGTCTGGGTCATCTGGAGTGTTGGCACTGACAGCTTCTTCCCTTAGGAAAGACTGCCACCTTCTGGCTTTAAATATTATCTTTTCGCTGACATCACCCACATTTAGCTCAACTGCCAGACACCTGTCCTGCCCTCATGCTTTAGATACCTACTGCAGGTTGTATGGGTTTCTAGTGAGCAGTACAAGCTCTCAAGAGGCCATGTGACCCTGCAGACCCTTCCCGCTGCCCCCTCCCTACCCTCACTTCCTCCCACTCTGCCCCACTGGCTCCTTACCCACCTGTAAACTGTCCAGGCCCGCCCTGTCCCCAGGCCTTTGTACCTGCCATTCCCTCTGCCTGGGATGCTCTTTCCCCAGAGACCTGGATGACTTCTCCCTCACCTCTTTCAGGTCTTTGCTCAGATAGCAAGATGTCTCCTGGAGGAGGCAATGGACATCCAATTTTAAGTTGCTACTCTCATCCTCAGCTGTTGCTAGCCATCTCTTTTGCTTTATTTCCCTCTTTAGCTCTTGGCATATAGCCTCCCAGGCCTTTTGCGGGTTTATGTTAACCTCACAGCAGAGACTTTGTATTTCGTTCTATGCTGCATCCTGGGGTCTGGAACAGACTGACAGTAAGGCTCAGAGGATCTCAGAAGGGGTGTAGAGGGCTTATGCTGAGAGCATCCTGAGTGTGGCAGGGAGCACTGGGGTGCTGAGCAAGCCCACCTGCGCCCAGCCTGAGGACGCGTCCTTTCCTGGCCGCCCAGGCATTCTCATCACCACCATCGCTTCCAAGGGTGAGCTGCAGATGTGGCCTGAGCTGCTGCCCCAGCTGTGCAACCTGCTCAACTCAGAGGATTACAACACGTGTGAGGTAGGTGGCAAGCCAGGGGCCACCTAGGTGGGAGCTGGGGCTGGACCTGGACCCACACCCGTGTATACTCCTCCCCACTCAGGGAGCCTTTGGAGCCCTGCAGAAGATCTGTGAAGACTCATCTGAGCTCCTGGACAGTGACGCCCTCAACAGACCCCTCAACATCATGATCCCCAAGTTCTTGCAGTTCTTCAAGCACTGCAGCCCCAAGATCCGGTGGGTGCACCTCCCCAGGGGTCTGCAGGGCGCCTGGGGAGGGCAGGGCGGGGTGACCCACATGCCCACTCCCTGCCAGGTCCCATGCTATCGCCTGCGTGAACCAGTTCATCATGGACCGGGCTCAGGCGCTGATGGACAATATTGACACTTTCATTGAGGTAGGCCGCCAGATTAGGGGTGAGCACGGTGAGGAACAGAGGTCCCCACTGTGGCTGATCCTGCCTTCCCTGCAGCACCTGTTTGCCCTGGCCGTGGACGATGACCCTGAGGTGCGGAAGAATGTGTGCCGTGCCCTGGTGATGCTGCTGGAAGTGCGAATCGACAGGCTCATCCCCCACATGCATAGCATTATCCAGGTGTGCATACCTAACCCTGCTTGGGGGAGGGTGCTCCGGGGCTGGGGGTACAGAGGAAGCCTTCAGCTTTTCTTTCACTTGTCCCAGTACATGCTACAGAGGACCCAGGACCATGATGAGAATGTCGCCCTTGAGGCCTGTGAGTTCTGGCTGACGCTGGCCGAGCAGCCCATCTGCAAGGACGTCCTGGCCTCCCACCTGGTCCAGTGAGTGCGTCTCGTGTTCACTGTCCCACCCCAGGCTCCACCTCTTTTTTCTCAATTTACTTCCTATGTCAGCATACATTTTGCAAGTGATAGGAATGGTTTCTTTAAAGATTTTACTTATTTATTTTTAGAGAGGGGAAAGGAAGAAAGAAAGGGAGAGAAACATCAATGTGTGGTTGCCTCTTACACTCCCTGCACTGGGGACCTTTCCTCCAACCCAGGCATGTGCCCTGACTGGGAATCGAATCAGACCTTTTGGTTCCCAGGCTGGTGCTCAATCCACTGAGCGATACCAGCCAGGGCTGAATGTAGTTTTAATGGCTTAAAAATTAGGTAAGTTATAGGTGGAATAAATGAGAAGTCAAGAGAGGCTTCAGGCATAGCTGGATCTAGGTGCTGAAAGGATGTGAAAGGCAACTGTCCAGTCTCAGATTTACTTCATCTGCATTGGCTTTGTTCTCAGGCATGGCCTTCCTTCACGGTTGTGCTGGGGACTTCTATAACTTTACAACTTACGAACCTCTGAAAAATAATTCTCCAGCAAAAGTCCTAGGGACAACTTGGATCACTCACCTATCCCCAAATCAGTGAAGACTCTAATAAAAATTTCTTATCCCAGGGTCCATGGGCGCCAGCTGAGGGGGCTGGCTGCCCTACATGTTTATTCCCCTAACCTTGCTCCATCCCAGGCAAGTGTCTAGTGACTGAGCCATATGTGCCTGCCTTATGACATTCTAGGGATCAGGCTCTGTTCTAAGCTTCTCAGTGTATTCAGAGGTTTGGATTTCCTGGAGTGGCCAGGTCTGGGTCAAGAGCTTTCCTGTGGAGCCAGGAGTGATGTCCGCTCTGTCCCTGTCACAGTGGCTGAGACTGGGTTGGGGTAGCTACCACTAAGGGAGATTAATGGATGTGGGGCCAGCAGAATCAGTGTGCGATGTACAGTTGGCCCTTGACTCTCCCCTCTGTACTTCGCTTCCCTCTCACTCAGACATTGAGCCCCCAAGGAGCCCTGCTTCCCAATGAATAGCCTCTTTCCCAACAGGTTGATCCCCATCCTGGTGAATGGGATGAAGTACTCGGAAATTGACATTATCTTGCTCAAGGTCAGCCAGGTTCAATACTGGGTCCAGTAAGGTGGGTGAGGGTGGGGGTGTAGGGGCTGGGGCCCTGGTGGTGCTCAGTGGTCTGCCTGGCCCACAGGGGGATGTGGAAGAGGATGAGGCAGTCCCTGACAGTGAACAGGACATTAAGCCACGCTTTCACAAGTCACGCACAGTGACACTGCCCCATGAGGCTGAGAGGCCTGACAGCTCTGAGGATGCAGAGGATGATGATGATGATGATGCTTTGTCCGACTGGAATCTGAGTATGTGGCTTGGGCTGGGGTTGGTGTTGGGTAGAAGCCCTGGGTTCCCTCTTGGGAGATGATGATAAGCCTAATTGGAGCAGATCACAAAGATCCTAATCATGATCTCTGGTCTGGGGGTACGGTTGAGGAAGCCCTGCCTGATGGGCTTCTGAGCCTGCCCCCAATTTCCCTTCTGGCTTCAGGGAAGTGTTCGGCGGCTGCACTGGACGTTTTGGCTAACGTCTTCCGGGAAGAACTACTGCCCCACCTCCTTCCCCTGCTCAAAGGCCTCCTCTTCCACCCTGAGTGGGTAGTCAAGGAGTCAGGCATTCTGGTGCTGGGTGCCATTGCTGAGGGTGAGTGCCCCGCTGTCCTGGCTATGCATGACTTCTGACGCCTGTGCTGGCATGTGACTGGGTCTGGCCCAAGTGGGACTGCCTGTGGTGAGGGAGCCACATCATCCCTGTTTTCTACAAAGTCCTTCTCAGCCCCTTCAGATAGCTGTGGGATTTCAATCTTCCTCTCAACCTGTGATCCTGAAAGGAACCCCAAATCCTGAAATGCACATTCTCTCAGTTCTCATGGACAGGCAGTTCTGTGAGGTCGTAAGCAAAATTATAACTATAACAGCAGTAATAGTCACTTTTTCAGTGCATGTTCTGTGGCAGGCAGCCTGGTCCTAGGGGCGTGGTGCCATTTGATGAGGTTGGATTCATAGATGGGGAAGCTGAGGTACAGGGGGATGGACATCACCTCCCCATTTATCCAGGGTGCGCTGGGCCTCAGACCTGCTCCCTGGCTGCAGGGTTGGCCTGCTAGACTAAGTGTGCAGTGGTAGTACTTATTTAAACTTCACATGGTGTGCTATTACTGGCCTGGCTTTTGAGCACCCTTTGTACTAATGGAGTATGTGGCTTGGATGACCAGAGAGGGCTTTGTGAGTCTGTTATGGGCATCACTTGTGAGTGCCTCAGCATATAGTCCTGAGGCCAGAAGTTCTAAAAAGTTCAGAAGCCTTCACCCTGGAGAGCTTTCAGAATTACCTAAGGAGAGAGAGATTTTTGGTCAAGATGGAGGCATAGGTAAATTCCTTGCTTCCACGCACAACTATAGCAAAAAATACAGCTGCACTACAAAACAAATATCACTCAGAATTGTCAGAAAATTGAACTGTGTAGAAGTCTGACAACCAAGGATCTAAAGAAGCCACGTTCACTTAGGAGGAGTGGAGACACAGAGACACTGAGTTGCATGGAGAGGCACGGAGATGGGAGTGGGTGGTTTCATATCCACGTGCAGTAGGTTAAAAAAAACGGGAGGGATACCTTGGGAGCGAGGGATCCCAGTCCCAGTCCAGACCACCCAGCCCAGGGTCCAAGTGCCAGGAAGATAAATCCCCATAACTTTTGACTGTAAAAACCAGTGGGGGTTGGGGCAGTGAAGAAACTGTGTCTTCTTAAAGGGCCCACAACGGACTTAGGACTCACGCAGACCCACCCCCTCTGGGATTCAGCACCAGCTTAACAGTTTGAAGGGCACCAGTGGCATATGGGAAGAATGTGGAGTGCGAGTGGGGAGGCTAGATTACTCCTGGGCAGAAGTCCTGAGGCCAGGCAGTGGCATTGTCCCCTCTGCAAGCCCTCCCCCACATAGCAACAGAGTGGTGATACAGGTTGCCCTGCCCTGGCAATCACCTAAGGCTCCACTCCATACAACTTAATAGGTATGCTATTAGAAAGTCAAAGCAGTTTTACTTAATGCACAGAAACAAACACAAGGAGACTGTTAAAATGAGGAGACAGAAATATGGCCCAAATGAAAGAACAGAACAGAACTCCAGAAAAAGGACTAAATGAAATGGAGATAAGCAACCTATCAGTTGCAGATTTCAAAACACTGGTTATCAGGATGCTCCAGGAATTCCCTGAGTACTTCAATGCCATAAAAACAGACCCAGGCAGAAATGAAGGTTGCATTAAGTGAAGTAAAAATCTACAGGGAGCCAACAGTGGAGAGGATGAAGCTGAGAATCAAATCAACGATTTGGAACACAAGGGAGGAAAAAAACATTCAATCAGAACAGCAGAAAGAAAAAATAAAAACAAAACAAAACTGAGTAGGCTTAGGGGCATTTTTAAACATACTAATATCCTAATCATAGGGGTGCCAGAAGGAGAAGAGGAAGAGCAGGAAATTGAAAACAAGTTAAAAAAAATGAAAGAGCCTCCCTAATTTGGTGAAGGAAATAGACATACAAGTCCAGGAAGTGCAGAGTCCCAAACAAGATAGACCCAAAGAGAGACACATCAAGACACATAATTAAAATGCCAAAGGTTAAAGAATCTTTAAAAACAGCAAGAAGAAAGCAGACAGTTATCTACAAAGGAGTTCCCATAAGACTGTCAGCTGATTTCTCAAAAGAAACTGCAGGCTAGAAGGGACTACAACCTAGATTACTTTGTCCAGCAAAGCTATCATTTAGAATGGAAGCACAAATAAAACACTTCTCAGACAAGGTAAAGCTAAAGGAGTTCATCACCAAGCCATTATTATATGAAATGCTAAAGGGAATTATATAAGAAAAAAGATTAAGCCTTGGCTTGTGTGGATCAGTGGATTGAGTGCCAGCCTGCAAACCAAAGGGTCGTCAGTTTGATTCCCAGTCAGGGCACATGCCTGGGTTGTGGGCCAGGTCCCCAGTAGCACAAGAGGCAACCACACAATTGATGTTTCCTTCTCTCCCTGTCTTCCCCTCTTTCTAAAGTAAAATCTTGTAAAAAGAAGAGGTAAAAAAGAACATTAGAATGGCAATAAATTCACAACTATCAACAACTTAATCTGAAAAACTAAGCAAACTAGCAGAACAGGAACAGAATCCTAGATGGGGAGATCACTTGGGGGGTTATCAGTTGGGAAGGGAAAGGGGGAAAGGTACAGGGATTTAGTAGCACAAATAAACGGAGGGGAATGGAGAAGCCGAAGAACTTAAATGCATGACCCATGGACATAAACTAAGTGGGGGATTGCTGGGGGTACTGGGTGGAGAGGGGCACAGGGGGAAAAAGTTGGGACACCTGTAATAGCATAATCAAAATACATTTTTAAAAAATTGAGGGCTTTTCTCACAAAGTAAATAATATAGCCTATGTTACTGCATGTACATGTGTCGGTAGACTGCATTAGGTGTTCTACGTACTCACAGGAAAAGACTTAGAAGAACTGACTCTAAACCTATTAAAACAGGTCATTTAATAGGGGTCGTACTATTATCTGTGCTCTCTAATTGAAAAACATGCTCATGATTCTTTTTTCTTTTCAAGAATTTTTATTCATTGATTTGAGAAACATGGATTTGTTGTTCCACCTATTTATGAATTCGTGGGTTGATCCTTGTACATGTCCTGATCGGGGGTCAACCCACAACCTTGGAGCGTTGAGACGATACTCCATCCAACCTCAGTTACCCAGCCAGGGCTCGTGGTTCTCCTTTAAAAAGATGATGAAAAATAGAAATTAGAAAAGTCCAAAAAAGGTTTTAAAAGAAAAGGACTTCCCACCCATTGGGGTCACTGCTGTCCACAAAGCCCAGTCATTGTGTAGCCCGGTCATCTGTGGGTTAATGAGTGACCGTGTTGGGGTAGAACTGATGGTTTGCTTTCCCTCCTGACCCTACCTTTCACTGGCTCTGTGACTCTGAGCCAGTTATTCAATCTCTGAGCCTCAGTTTCCCCATCTGTCAGGTTCTGCTGATCTCTAAAGGGTGAGTGTGGCCATGCTCAGCTGGGCTCAGGTTTGCCCCCTGCTGTCCTTGCAGGCTGCATGCAGGGCATGGTGCCCTACCTTCCTGAGCTGATCCCGCACCTCATCCAGTGCCTGTCGGACAAGAAGGCCCTGGTTCGCTCTATCGCCTGCTGGACGCTGAGCCGCTATGCCCACTGGGTGGTCAGCCAGCCGCCAGACATGCACCTCAAGCCTCTGATGACAGAATTGCTGAAGCGCATTCTGGATGGCAACAAGAGGGTGCAGGAGGCAGCCTGCAGGTGACTTCTGACCCCTGGCCCCACAGTCCTCACCCCCTGTGCCTCTGGCTGCCCTTCGGGAAGTGATGACACTCATTACCCCTGACATCCGCTGATTCCTATCGTATTCGTACTGGCTGATCCCGAGTGCCTCCTCCTGTCTACATGCCCATGGCCCAGCCCTCACCTCTAGGTGCCCACTGAACCCTTTCCCACCTTCCAGTGCCTTCGCCACCCTGGAGGAAGAGGCCTGCACGGAGCTGGTGCCCTACCTCAGCTATATCCTGGATACTCTTGTGTTTGCTTTTGGCAAGTACCAGCACAAGAACCTACTCATCCTCTATGATGCCATTGGCACCCTGGCTGATTCTGTGGGCCACCACCTCAACCAGCCGGTGAGACCCCACTGCAGCTCTCTCCTAATTCCCTGCTCCCCTCTGGCATCCAGTGACCTGGCGGCGACCCTGTGTCGCACGCCAGGGCCATGGCCATCACCTCAACAGGCAGACAGCTCCGGCCCCTGCCCTCGCCCTGCTCCCAGTCTAGTGGGGGAGACAGACAGTTATGAGACAGTGTGGTAAGTGCTGTGCTGGGGGAGCTCAGGGGGCTGTGGGAACTAGGATGCTGATCCAGGCTTCTGAAGGGGCAGGGGTGGATAGGTGGGGCTTGGGATGGGTCAGAGGAACTTGGAGGTCTGACGGATGGTGAGGCCTTGCAGGCCCCATGAGCCACAAGGAGGAGCCCAGGCTTTATTGCTCAGGCGATGGGCGGTGGACGGCCTTGCTAGTTCTCAGGCTGCTACCACTACCCAGAAAGTCCTAAGTTCTTGTTCCCCTTGCAGGAATACATCCAGAAGCTGATGCCTCCACTCATCCAGAAGTGGAATGAACTCAAGGATGAAGACAAGGACCTCTTCCCTTTGTTAGAGGTGGGTGGCCTCCAGGCTCCCGGTTGCAGCCATGCCCTACTCTACCTAAATTCGCCTCTCCTGCCTTCCTCCCACCAGTGTCTGTCATCCGTGGCCACTGCCCTGCAGAGCGGCTTCCTGCCCTACTGTGAGCCTGTCTACCAGCGCTGTGTCACACTGGTGCAGAAGACACTGGCCCAGGCCATGGTGAGCACCTGCCCACCCCTCTGCTGCTGCCCCAGCCCTGGCCTGCCGCCCTCACCCTCCCGCCCACCCCAATTGTGCCCAGATGTACACCCAGCACCCTGAGCAGTATGAGGCCCCCGACAAGGACTTCATGATCGTGGCATTAGACCTGCTCAGCGGCCTGGCTGAGGGCCTGGGTGGCCACGTGGAGCAGCTGGTGGCCCGCAGCAACATCATGACACTGCTCTTCCAGTGCATGCAGGTGGGTGGGCACCGTTCGAAGGCCTCTCTCAGTGATGACACCCAACAGCCTGTATGGGCCACCCTGGGGGAGGGGTCAGGGCCAGGAAAGGGGGCCTGTAAAAAAAAAACAACCCCATAATTATTTAAAAAGGGGATTCAAATAGGACATGAGTAAAAGCTCATATTTCAAGCCAACAATGTAGAAAATTTAGAGGTAGGAAATGGGAAAGCACAGCTCCTCCAACATTACCCCCGACCTGTGTATCAGGAGGGCCAGCAGTTACATGTGCCTCCCCCAGCTGTAGCTGTGTCCTGAGCCAGGCACTCGTTCTCATGGCCCGAGTCCCGATGTACATAGAGGCCCTGCAGCCTCAGTGCTGGGAAGTAGAAGGGTCAGGCTCTGCCCCAGGGACTGACTGCTTCCCTAGCTGCCCTGCACTAAAGGATTAGTTGAGGCCTTGGCTTGTTGCGGGGAGGGGAGCCCTGCCATGCTTACCCTGCTCTGACTCCCAGGACTCGATGCCTGAGGTCCGGCAGAGCTCCTTTGCCCTCCTGGGAGACCTCACCAAAGCCTGCTTCATCCATGTCAAGCCCTGCATTGGTATGACACCCATCTTGTCCTTACCTCATAACCCTAGCTCTGGCCTCAAGTGATGAACAAATGACCAGGGAGGACTGTGACTGAACTGGGATGTATTCGTACTGTCTGATGGGGCGTGCCCTGCCAGGTCAGGGAGCTTACCCTGGCGGGTCCTCCTGCTCAGCATCTCTCTTTCTCCCCACCAGCTGAGTTCATGCCCATCCTGGGCACCAACTTGAACCCTGAGTTCATCTCTGTCTGCAACAATGCCACCTGGGCCATAGGCGAGATCTGCATGCAGATGGGTGAGTGCCCTGCAGGTGGGCAGGCCCTGCCCCTTCCCGTGGGCCTATTTCTGGCCTAGGGAGAGGAGCCTGGCTCTGAGCGACAGGCTTCCTCAAGAGGGTGCCAGTGCTCCTTGAGGAAGGCTCCCATGGGCCAGGGGTAAGAGGACACTGAGCATTTTCATCAGAGATTGACCAAGTGGCTAAAAGGCCACCTGTGATTGGCTTCTGCAAAGAGGCAGGCCAGGAGGCCTGTTCTGATTGGACTGTTTGCCACCTTCCCACCCCGAACGCAGTTGGCTGAAAGGTCCCCACTGGGATTGGTAGGGAAACTTTGGCAGCTTCTCCTTCTCCCAAGGAAACTGGGCCATCTGGCCTTACCTCAGTGTTCAGGGGTGATTCCAGGGAAGCTTCTGCTGTTTGGAGGGTATGGGTCTGTCTCCAGTTGGCCATGGGTCCTGGCCTGGAGACCAACTGAAGAAGGTTTTTCGCTCCCTCACTGGATACAGTCGGCCAGAGTCTAGATGTAACTGGATGGGTGGTGTGGGTGGCATGGGCTGTGTGCGGTTGACTCTCTGATCCCACAGGGGCAGAGATGCAGCCCTATGTGCAGATGGTCCTCAACAACCTGGTGGAGATCATTAACCGGCCCAACACACCCAAGACGCTTCTGGAAAACACAGGTGGGCACCAGGTCTGGGCTGCTGCCGTCCCCTTGCTCACCTCCCAGAGGTGGGCTTCTTGGCTTAGAGGGTAGTTAAGTGGCTTTGGAAATGAACCAGGGAAGGTATCTGGAAGGACCTGGCAGTGGTTCTGGGAGGAGAGGCAAGAAAGATGCTGGTCTCAGAGGAAGACCCAGTCTAGGCCAAGCTTCTGGGCCCCGGTGGCTGGCAGGAGCTATTCCCTTGGGGCCCGTGGGACAGGGCTGGTGCCTGGTGCCAGAGGCCTCGCCACGTACCGTCCGGGGGCCACTCGGGGTTGCAGGTCGCCTGACGAGTCCCTCTGCCATTCCAGCCATCACCATTGGCCGCCTGGGCTACGTGTGCCCACAGGAGGTGGCACCCATGCTGCAGCAGTTCATCCGGCCTTGGTGTGTGTTCACCTGTGTGGGGCCTTCTGTGTGGTGGGCTGGGCAGCAGAGTGGGTGGGACAGGTCCAACCCATGCCCTTGCCTGTGCCCGCCCATCCCTGCCCACTGTGGCAGCACGTCCCAGCCCCATTACCCACTGATCCCCCTGCTTCCTCCATGCCCCGCAGACACATGGCCCACCCCACCCCAGCCCCACTGCCCACTGTTCCCAATGGATGGCCCCCCCTGCTCCAGCCCTGCCAGTGATTCCCTGCTGCTCACCTTCCCCACAGGTGCACGTCCCTCAGGAACATCAGGGACAATGAGGAGAAGGACTCAGCCTTCAGAGGCATCTGCATGATGATAGGCGTCAACCCTGGGGGCGTCGTGCAGGTTGGGGCGGCTGGGCTCTGAGGGAAGGCACTGGGACTGGCTCGGGCCGCCCCTCACACGGGATTCGTCACATTTCAGGACTTTATTTTCTTCTGCGATGCTGTAGCCTCCTGGGTGAGCCCGAAGGATGACCTTCGGGACATGTTTTATAAGGTGAGCTCCCGCTTCACCCTGATGTAGTCTCAGGAGGCGGCAGCGGAGAGACCCTGTGTGGGAAGGGGCCAGGTTCATTTGCTCTATTCTGGGTGCCCCTCCCGCCCCCCACAGATTCTCCATGGCTTCAAAGATCAAGTTGGGGAGGAGAACTGGCAGCAGTTCTCGGAGCAGTTCCCACCACTGCTCAAAGAGAGGTTGGCTGCCTTCTATGGGGTCTAGAGGAGCATTGCAACTGCTAGGTGAGGAGGCCGCATGTACAGTGGGTATGGCACTGTCCTTGGGCTGGGGAAGCACAGGCCCTGACCCCTTCTCTCCCTGCAGGTTTCTGTCTGCGTCGTCAGCGGAGGGGTTGCTGGGGAGCACACTGCGTCCAGAAGTTGCCGTGTCATGGTCGAGGGGGGTTAGGGAGGAGTGAGTGGGACCCAAATCCAGATGCCTTCCCTGTCCATCTACCTGCCATGCCTGGCCTGTGTGGCCAGCCCGCGGTGGGCAGGTGGGTGGGCCTCCACACATCCTACAAACGGGAGGGGGGTGGGACTTCATGGCAACAAGGGCCCCTTTCTCTAAGTGGGGTCACCTCAGGCAGCCCACTTGGGCCAGCCATGTGGGAGGGAGGAATCAACACAGCCGACTAAATCCGGCTTAGGACGAAGCAGGGGGAAAGCAGGCGGGGAGGGGGGGGTCCCTGTAGAGATGTGTACTCACGTACACATGTGGCCACACGCATGTGCGGGCGCTGCTGCCAGCCAGGCTGGGCCAGCTGCCCCACCATTTCCCTGACTGCATGGAGACAGTAGAATTAGTGAACCCCTGAGTTAACCCGTAAGGCCTTCCGTGTAACCTGCATCTAGAGTTTAAGAAGCTTCTGCTGTTTTACTGGAATTGGAGATGACTGGGGAGGGCTGGGTGGGTTGGGGTCCTCTTCCGGGATCCCAGGGCGGGGTAAAAGGAAGGCCACCTTGGGGCTGTCCCATCAACATGCACACGCTTTGGACCTGCTCTGCACACTTCCTGCCAGCTCTCTGGCAGTCTCAGCCAGTGTGTCCACTCCTTGTCCCTTCCCAGCCAGAAAAGTGGAGACCACAGGAATGGCTGGGGCTGGCCAGAGGTCCCTCTTTCTCCCTTGTGCTCCAGTGACTTTTGAAGACACTGGCCTGGGGCTTTTTTTTTTTTTTTTTTGAGAGAGAGCTGGGGGTGGCCAGAGCTGCTGACATATACCCCCTCCCTCTCTCCATAAGCACGTCCATTTTAAGGGCAATCTATTTCTCTTCTTCTGAGAGCCTGGTTCAAGTTCCAGGCCCGAGTTTCTAAAATGAGGGCTGGGGCATTTAATTGATGTTGATGCAATGAAGGCTCGTGCTTTGCCAGCAAGGAAAGCAAGAGCTTGGTGGAAAGGTGGTGTTCCCCCCACCTTGAGGCCATGAGGCTTCCTGTTCGTCACTGCTCCCAGTGGCCCTGAGAACCCATTAGATTGGGGATGTGGTCACAATAGGAGAGGCTCCCCTAGAACCAGAGGGAGTGTGGTTTCAAGTTGGCCTTGAAATGAAGCTGGACCCTGCAGCCTCCTTAAGCTTTTATTTTTTCTCTTCCCCTGCTTTTTACTTCTTTGGGGGTCCCTTTTGTGGTTTTGGGGGGTTTGACTGGACTCCTGCATCCTGGGGCCTGCTGTGTCCATCCCGCTGGGTTCCTAGATCCCACTCCCATCACAGCCCTGCCTTCTCAGACAGGGTCAGGCCCTGCCTCTATCCCAAGGGGCACTTGGTGCACATTCCATAAATTTAGCTAATTCCCCCTTCTCACCTTGGAAACTCCAGCAGGTCTCTGGAAGCCATTTATTAAAAAAAGAAAAAAAGAAAAAGAAAAAAAATACCATTTAATTTTCTGGTAATTCCAGTTCTTTGGAGCATCCTCTGCAGGGCCTTAGGGAGTGTGGATGGATTGGCTGTCTGATAGGCTTGGAAGCTACCCCACCCAGTTTGTGGGTGGGGCTCCAACCACCTCCAGAGAAGTGGGAGCCTGGTTCATCATCTTTCTTTTTTTAAAAAGAAAACTATTTAATTTTTAATTTATTTTTGGTTGGTTTTTGCACAATGAAGTTGTAGCTTCTCAACCTTCTCTCCTGCCCAGGGCTGCGGACCCTGACTGGCTTCGATCCGCAGATCTGCCTGTTCCCATGTCCCTTCTTTCCCTTCATTTTCTTCCTCCTGCAGGCTCCAGGGTCTGTTCATTTGTTACCATGCTGTGCTGGGGATTGGCGCCGAGGTGGCGTGAGATTCCACTTGTGTAGAACTTTGTTGAGTAAAGATCAGTTTCTTGTGAACCTTGGTCTCCAATTGGCCTCCTGTGTCCTTGGCTTTGGCAGTAGAGATGTTGAGGGAGGCTGTGAAAATGGGGATGCACAGGACTCAGGAAGTAATTGGGGGAGGAAATAAGCAATAACCAGGGACATTTCTTAGGACCCCAAGCATCGGTTTTCTTTCGTGTAAAATGGTTAAGGTGAATGTGAAAGGTGAAGATTAAATGTAACATGTGGAGTGCATTATTACAACTAACGAAATGTCCTCAGCTCACTAAAGGAGAACCATTAGTGTTACAGCCTAGGTTCAAGATCCCCACCTGCCTTAGACTAAACTGAGTGATAAAGGGTCAAAGCCTTGCAGCACCTTCATCTTTGGCTGACTTCCACAACTGGATCACTGGGCATCTCAGACATTTTATAGAAAGCTCAGCTCCTAGCACGAGGCCTGTGGGAGATAGGTAAGATATTAGCAACAATTACTGGGACAAATGAGAAACTGCTCAAAATGTGGCAATTTCAGTATGGCCTGAGGATCACCTGCATCAACCTGGGAAAACCAATGACACATTCCAAGTTTGTTTAAGTGTACATTTTGGTGAGAGGGAATAGAATGTAAACAATGACATGTCCCATAGAGAAAGATAGTGGAGAGGGGAGAGAACATTGGGGAAGATGGGAGGTACTATGGGAAGATGTTTGAACAAAACCTGGGTATGAGAAGAATTGGGCGGAGGGTACAAGCAATACCATAGAGATTGTTTATGTGTTAACTGCTTGGCTCAAGAGTCTTTCAGTAAGATCCTGGTTTTATCAGTATTATTCAGAGTACTGTTCTACTGAGGCCTCTACAGGATAAGGGTGCTTGTTTCTGGCTCCAGAAGGCAAGACGAGTTTAAATCACTTATATTCCCCAGGCTGCAAACCCCAGAAGGGGTTTGCCGTTTCTCAGCTCGGTGTCACCTGTGAAAGTTGACTTCCAGAGAGCCATGTGTTTCTTTTTTTCTTCCAAACTATAAGAGAAAGTTTATTTAGAAGGTCACAGAGGTAGAAATACGCTGTAGGAGAAATGGGCCCAGAAAACGAGTTACACAGGCAAAAGAAAGCAAGGGCCCCGTTTTTCAAACCAGAAAACCAGCACCCCACCAGCGACCCTTAAAAATGCAGGAACCCTGTCTTGATTTAGAGATCTGTCCCTTACATGGGAAGGTTGCGGGTTCCATTCCTGGTCATGGCATATACCTAGGTTGCGTGTTCCATTTCCCATCAGGGTGCATGCGGGAGGAAACATGGATGTTTCTCACATCAATGTTTTTCTCTTTCCCTTCCCCTCTCTTTAAAATCAGTAAGCATATCCTCGGGTGCCAATTAAAAACTAAATAGATAAAATTAACAAGAACCACAGAGCCAGGAATCTGCATTTTCCAGCCCTAGGGCCATACAGCGGCAGACCGGAGACACTTGCATGGAGCAGCCGCCAGTACCCTGCGGATTTCCGCTCAGCCCCTTACTTCCGCCGATGCTTTAACGTCATCAGGCAGAGCCGAACCTGCCCTCGCGCTGCCTAGGAGACAGGACGCGGGCGCGCAGCAGACCAGGCTGCGGGCCGCGCCCACTCGGTCGCCATGGAGCTGTCCCCAGAGCTCTGCGACGATCCCAGTTCCTGGGACGATGACTCGGACCCAGAGCCGGAGCCCGACCCAGACGCGCAGGCTGAGGCTTACGTGGCCCGCGTGCTCAGTCCTCCGAAACTCGGGCTGGCCCCCCTGCGTACCCCTGTGCTCTCCGCACCCGCCGCGTCCCCGGTCGCTCTGGAGCCACGGGCGGGGTCTAAGGGCCCTACCGTGGGGGTCCCGGGCCTTCTGAGCCTTCCCCCGGAGCTGCTGCTCGAGATCTGTGCCTACCTGGATGCTCGCCTCGTGCTCCACGTCCTGCCGCGCGTGTGCCACGCGCTGCGCGACCTTGTGCGTGACCGAGTCACCTGGAGACTACGCGCGCAGCGCCGCCTTCGCGCCCCCTATCCAGTGGTGGAAGGTGCGCATTCCCTGGGCCAGGGTAACCGGCCCAGGTTAGGCTTGGGCCGGGGAGGGGGAATCTGAGGTGCTGTGAGGACAGCCCCTAGGGCAGACTTCCTGGCTGTCCAGACTTGGGTAGAGCCTGAGGTGGTGCCAAAGTCCCTGAATTCTGAGTGGATCACAAGGTAGACACGAGGGGAGTCCTGAAGCTGTGAAATCCTACCTGGGGCCTGGGGTCCCTTGAACTGAGGATCCAGTGAGCCTCAGGCTTGGGTTCTAGTGGTGATACAAAGGCCCTGAACCCTGCCAGGGGGCTGACACGGGGACTTAAAAGTCTCAGGCTGTTGGAATCTGCTTGGGGCTCAGAGTAAACCACAGAATCCTTAGGTTTTGGGTCTAAATGCGGAAGCAGCAACTGGTGATGCCAAAGCCCCTCACCCCTAGAGTCCTGACCTAAGTGGGGGTGAGGCAGTGGCTCTGGTCCAGAGCCTGCAACTCTTGAGCCAAAGGTAAGGTTTAGAGGTTGGAATCCCTGATGCCAGCAATCACAGATCCTCAAGCCCAGGGTCCAGCCTGGGATCTTAAGCAGGGGCTTCCTCCAGTTCCCAAGGTCATTGGTCCCTGGGGGATAAGACAGCTTGGTCACCTTGAAGTGATGGGACTCTCCTGAATAACTTGATAAACATAGATGCTTGGGCTCCATCCATGTCACTGAGTCTCTACACCTGGGGCTTAGATTCTGCATCTTGATAAGTCTCCCAGGTTTATAGATAGTAGTTTGAGAAACACTCTCCTGGGTCTGGTTCAGATGGCTGAGGCAGAAAGTCCTAGCTCCTGTACCCAGCCTGAGGGATTAGCCAGGGGTGAGGAAAAACTTGAACGTTCTGAGGCTGCAATCCCCCAGAGTTGGGTTGAGGATGAGGCCTGGGAAGGTGGTCTTGAGGCTCCAATTTCCAGAAACTGGGAAACTGGACCTGCTTCCAGTCCTAGACCTGCTTTGAAGGTGGATGGGGCAGTGGTCCCAAAGCTAGAGCCTGGGCCTCCTTGGGTTGGGGTGAGGGATCCAGATGGGGGGTTTCTCCAAGTCCAGGGCTGGTTGGGTTCCCTGGGAACCAGAGGTGAGCTTGGAGAGCTGGTGTGGGTAGCAGGATTCCCACCCACCTAAGACCCTGCTCATGGTTCCCACAGAGGAGGACTTTGACTGGCCAGCCGCCTGCATTGAGCTGGAGCAGCACTTGTCACGCTGGGCGGAGGATGGGTGCTGGGCTGAGTACTTCTGCCTGGCTGATGGGCACTTTGCGTCCATTGACTCAGTGCTGCTGCTCCAGGTGAGATGGGTTTGGTGAGGGGCCAGGCAGGGGTGGGTCAGGGTAACCCTGACAGTATCACCTCACTCCCCTCCCAGGGTGGGACGCTGTGTCTGTCAGGCTCCCGAGATCGAAATGTCAACCTGTGGGACCTGCGGCAGCTCGGGGTGGAACCCAGCCGGGTTCTGGTCAAGGCCCTGGGCACCCAGACGAACAGCACTCACAAGGTGAGGATGTAGAAAGCATAAAGCCTGGGTACGTTGCCATCACCAAGGGTGCAGGTGTTGACACCAGACCTCATGGATTAAAACCTTATTCTGCTGCCGTTAGTGTGATTTTGGGATGAGATTGATGACTTCTCTAGATCTCAGTTTCTACTTCTGTCCAGTGGTCAGAAAGGATGAGGATGAATGAGATGAACAGGCATTAAGAGCTTCACTCAGACTCGGACACACAGTAGGTACTCAACAGATGTCAGGAGGCCTCGAGAGGCCCAGGGCAGAGCGTGAGGAGGCTGCCCTTGGGGGTCAGACAGCTCTGAGAATGACTGTCATCTTATGTGAGGCAGCAGTGGAGCAGCACCTCTACCAGTCAGTGAGGTGGTCTAGGCCTTGGAGCCAGGCTGCTGGGTTCAAATCCCCACCCTGTTGCTTCCTGGTTGGGTGACCTTGGGTGACCTTGGGTGAGAAATGCAACCTGTCTGTGCCTTCATTTGTAGAACAGGACACCATACAGTATTCTCCTCAGTGGGTTTGGTGGGGAATGTCAGTCTGTGCATATTATCTCCTGAGACAGGGACTTTTTTAAAAAATTGATTTTTTAATATTTATTTATTTTTAGAGAGGGAAGGGCGGGAGAAAGAGAGAGAGAAACATCAGTGTGTGGTTGCTGGGGGTCATGGCCTACAACCCAGGCATGTACCCTGACTGGGAATCAAACCTGCAACACTTTGGTTCACATCCCGTGCTCAATCCACTGAGCTACGCCAGCCAGGGCTAAAAAAATTGATTTTTAGAGAGAGAGAAAGAGAGGAAAGGGGTGGGAAAAAGAGAGAAAGAGAAACAAACATCAATTTGTTGTTCCATTTATTGATGTGTTCATTAATTGATTCTTGTATATGTCCTGATGGGATCAAACCTGCAACCTTGGTGTGTCAGGACAACACTCTAACCAACTGAGCTACCTGGCCAGGGATGGAGGCCCCATTTTTTAAAAAGATTTTATTTTATTTATTTTTAGAGAGAGGGGAAGGGAGGGAGAAAGAGAAGGAGAGAAATGTCAATGTGTGGTTGCCTCTCAAACGCCTCCTACTGGGGACCTGGCCTGCAACCCAGGCATGTGCCCTAGACTGGGAATCAAACCCTTTGGTTCGCAGGCTGGCACTTAACCCATTCTTAATCATGTTGTCATGTGGCCTCAAACTGTCGCTGGTTCTGAGTCCCCGGGGGACTTGATTTAGGAATATTATTGGGTGGGGGGTAGGCATGTCCTGGTGTGTGCAGGCAGACAGACATACAGACTTGAGCTGTAATCTCTACATGGTGCTGACTAGCTCTGTGTTCTTGGGCTGATTAGCTCCCTCCTCTGACCCTCAATTTACTTATCTGAGAAGTGAGGACTGTCACATGGATCTGGTCCTACAGGGCTGGGTGTGGTCACTGGCAGCGTTGGACCACCGAGTGTGCTCTGGTTCCTGGGACAGCACGGTGAAGCTCTGGGACATAGCAGCTGACGGGCAGCAGTTTGGCGAGATAAAGTGTGAGGGGTCCTGGGGAGGGGGGCTGGGGGGGAGGGACAGGGCACTGCCTGGCCACAGCCGAACCTCATGCTCCATGTGTCCCTAGGGGCAAGGCAGCTGTGCTGTGCCTTTCCTATCAGCCTGACATCCTGGTAACTGGCACCTATGACAAGAAGGTGACAGTCTACGACCCCAGAGGTAGGCCAGGGGCCCAAATTGGGGAGAGCAGGGCTGCCTGGGAGGGTCCCCAGCATCATGCTGGGGAAGGAGGCACTTTGGCCTCATAGCATGGCTGGGGTGACAGTGACATAGGCAGATGCTAACCACTCAGAGTGCCTGTGGTTGGGGACGGGGGGCGCTGTGGAGGAAGCTATACCTCTATCTGGGCAGGTTGAGGGACATAGAGGGCACCCAGAGGAGGGGCCTCAGAGCCAGAATCCCTGGGTGGTAGACAGCCCCCGAGAGTCCTGGCTCTCCCACTCCCTAGCTGTATGTTCCCAGTCAAGCTTGAACTTCAGTTTTCCTATCTGTAAAATCTGGATAATAACAACTCTAGCCTCATAGGATTAATGGGAGGAGATGATAATAACAGTATTGGTGGATTAAATGTTATTTTATATAAAAGGCCTAGAACAAACATTGCCTGGCACATACGCCTTTTGTTACTTTTTTATTCTTATTTTGTGTAACTGAAGGGCCAGCGTGCCTTATCCAGGCAGAGCAGAGTGGTGGTAGGGGTGGAGGCAACTCTGCTGGCATTGGTTGGCATTTGATGTTGGGACTATCCTTTCTAGTCTGTACTGAGAGCAGATGGGACAGGAGGAGGGAGATGGGATAGGAGGTGGGGGCGGGGTGGGGTAGAGGCCTGGGGTCCTGGGAGGCCCAGATTCGGTGGGGCAGGAAAAGAGAGAGGGGTCACTCATGAGTTGCAGGGTGGGGAGGGAAGCTGACCAGGGCTTCTGCCACAGAGGATGGAGGCCCTGTATCCTCTGGTAGGCTGCGGGGGCCCTTTGAGGGGTGCTGATGTCCCCCTTCCCCCTGGCCCATCATCCACAAAGTTGGCCCAGCCCTGCTGAAGAGCCGGCGGCTGCACTCAAGTGCGGTGCTGGCGTTGTTGGCTGATGACCGGCACATCATCTCGGGCAGTGAAGACCACACGCTCGTGGTGTTCGACCGCCGGGCCAACAATGTCTTGCAGCGGCTGCAGGTGAGCCCTCCCCAGGGTCCTGAGGGACCACGGCTGTGGCATGACCCAGACTGAGCTGCTCCACCCCATGTCCCTCCCACAGCTGGACTCCTACCTGCTCTGCATGTCCTACAAAGAGCCCCAGCTCTGGGCCGGTGACAACCAGGGTCTGCTGCACGTCTTCGCCAACCGGGAGGGCTGCTTCCAGCTTGTCCGGGTCTGCCAGGGCCCTTGTCCCTGTCCCATCCTTCCTGGGCCTCCTCCCTACCTCTAGACTTCCGTGGTGGTGGGTGGCTGGCCTTAGGAGAGCCTTGCCTGAGTGTAACCTGTCCCTCCTTCTTGCAGTCCTTTGACGTGGGCCACAGGTCTCAGATCACAGGGATCAAACACTCGCTGGGGACCTTGTACACCACATCCACCGATAAGACCATCCGGGTGAGGCCCCAGGACAGGCCCCCTCCCACGCCACCCCCACTGGCTGGGAGCACACCTCTTGACCTTTGCCTGTTACCCCTTACCAGGTGCAAGTGCCCACCGATCCACCAAGGACTATCTGCACCCGGAGCCACCACAATGTGCTGAATGGGGTAAGGCCCTACCCACACGTCCTGCCCTACATGCCCTTCTGGCTGTCCAGAGCGCCCCTGAGTCTTCATGTCCCCGTCCAGATCTGTGCTGAGGGCAACCTGGTGGTGGCTGCCTCTGGGGGCCTGTCATTGGAAGTCTGGAGGCTGCAGGCCTGAGCAGGCAGACGTGCGTGTGGATGTGGATCTGCCAGCCGGCAGGCTGAGGCAAGGCCTCTGTTCTTCGGGGGGGTGGGGGTACCCTCCCCTTTGCTGGTGCTGTTCCTGCTGGGCCCCACAGGCCTAGGGCACAAGGACCCCAGGTCACTGCCACGTGGGGTCCCTGGTATGGGCCCCAAACCAGGGAAGGTGAGGTTGGTGTTCCAGCCCACCCAGGGAACTGATGCCCATCCCCAGATCCTGTTTAAGATTTGGATGCCTGCTCTCCCTTGAGGACGAGGGGGAAATAAACCTGGCATACTGGTGCTGTGACCTGGAGCGGTGCCTGCTTGGGATCAGGGGGCTGGGGATGAGTGTGTGTCGGGGGGGCTGGGGCGCGGCAGCCTCTGCTGTGTCTGTCTGGGTGCACATGTGCTCACCCGAGTGCATTCCTGGGATCACATGTGTCTGTCCCTGGGGAGGCAGGCTGGCTGGCTGTGTGTGTTGTTATTGTAACCTGTCTGTGACTGACTGCATACCCGAGTGTGTGAGAGAGGAAGAGGGAGATTCTGGAGGGTGTGGGCACCTCCTATCTATGATGATACCTCTGTGTGTGTGATATGTGGACACATGTGATGTGTATGTGTGTGGTGTGCACTGGCATGTAGATAGGGACTGTCCCTGGATGTTTCTGTGCAGAAGGAGAGGGGATCTGCTATGGCGCCCATAGGTTCGGGGCAGGGAGGGGTATGAGAGGCGTGTGCTCTTCTGTTGAGAGTACAAGGCATGTGTGTCCCTGTGGCAGTGACCCTGGAGTGGGCCAGGTGCCCCTGCCAGCCTGCAGCTCCCCTTTGCCCGCCACTGCAGCCCACCAAGCCCTGAGGAGCATTTACTTCATGTTTATTGAGTGGTCCTCAGGGCCAGTATCACAGGATGGCACAAGGCTTCTTCTCCTTGAAGGGGTTGGTGGCAGCTGGGATGCCCACCAGGAACGGGTCACTCTTGGCCTGCTCCAAGCAGAACTGCAGCAGGTCAGAGGCTGCCTTGGACACCTGTAGACCAGCTCAGTCAGCCAGACCTTGGCCTGTCCCTTGGCCCCTCCCCCAGATGTGTCCACCTGCCCCCAGCCTCACCTTCATTCGGTCAATGCCGGCCTCCATCCTCAGCTGCTCCACGGCCCGGCGGGCCTGCCCGATGTCGCTGCCGGCAGCTACCTTGCTGGACATCTGGGGGAGGGTGAGCAGGGCCATAGGAAGCAGGCTGAACTCCAGACTGGGGCCCGAGGGCCACCTGAAGGGCCCCCACACCTCTTCCCAGGTGCCCTGGGGACCGTGGGGTAGGGTTGGATGCTCCCCCTTTGTCAGAACCACGTACCTCAGATGAGGACTCTGGCAGACTCCTGGCTGCTGGTCTCCTCCTGCAGCGTTGCTTTGCCTCCCTCCCCCACCTGCCTGGCCTCTCCAGCCCCCTCCTCCTTTACCCCTGCAGAGACTTTGAAGGCAGGACTCTCATGGAGTGAAATGTCACCAGTGACAGCAGCAGCAGCAGCTGCCTTAGCCAAGGGGTTCCCTGCCCCAGGAGGCCCAGTTACATTGGCAGGAGTATGGGGCTCTCGCCTCTCACTGACCTGCTTGCTCCCCTGCTAAATAGCTCCAACACCCTCCTTTGCCAGCCTCTGTCTCCCAATGTGCAGAGTGTTCCTGGGCTTGGGTGCAGCTCTGCCTCTCTTCTCCATCTACATTCACCGCCTGGGATGCACAACCTGGGTGACTCAGTCCACTCGTTTATGCCGATGGCTTCCTTTGCCCCATCCCAACCCCATCCCTGACCTCAGATCCATCTGAGGACCCTCTGGCCTCCTTCGTTCACCCACCCATCTCTCTAGTGTCTCTGACCTAATGTGGCCAAAGCTGGGCTCTGGATTGCCTTTCCCTCTGGACCTTCTGCTTCCTTCACCACCATCCACCCAACTGCCCTGGCTAAAATCTCAAACTCCTTTACCCCTCTCTATTCAGTATCCCCACATCTAATCCTTTCTTAAGAGTCAGCTGATCAACCTTCAAATTAGGTCCTCAGTCTGGTCACTTCTCTCCACCTCACACAGGTCCCACTCCATCTTCGCTCACTGGACCAGTGCAGTTGTCCTCACCCTGGTCTTTCCTGACCTCCCACAGCCACTGCCCCTATGTTTAAGGCAGGTGGTGGGAACTGCTAAAAAATAACTCAGAATATAACATGGATGAACCTTGAGGGGATTATGCTGAGTGAAATAAGCCAGTCACAAAAGGACACATTTATGATTCCATTATATGAAGTCCCTAGAGGAGCCAGATCATAGAGACAAAAAGTAAAATGGTGGGTACCTTTTCCCCAGGGGGGAGGGGGATAAGGAGCTTGTGTTCCATAGGGACAGAGTTCAGGAAGATACACATGTTCTGGAGGTGAACGGTGGTAATGGTTGCACAACATGGTGAATGTGCTTAATGCCACTGACCTGTGTACTAAAAATGGTTAAGAGAGTGAATCTTATGTGGAGTTTCTCACTTCCTTTTTAAAACTCTCCAGAGTTTTCTCAGCCTCTTAGAATAAAACCCGCCCTCCTTACTACAGCTCATAGGTCCTGCCTGGTCTGGTACCTTCTGCTTGCTCTGAATTCATTTATTAACCTCTCCCTGCTTCATTCCTCGTGGATCATGCTGGTGCCCTTGTGTTTGTTTCATTTGTTCATTCATTCATTCATTCATTATGTTTGCTGAGATCCCAATATGTGTCCAGCACAGCTCAGTGTAAGGGGATCGGCAGTGAAACCAGACAAAGTCCTGCCCTCACAGAGCTTCCCTTCTAGTCAGACAAACAAGAGCAAACACAATGTATTAAGTGCTATGAAGACAACACAAGCAAGGTAAGGGCAAGAGTGAGTGACAAGGGCAGGCCTCCTGGAGGAAGTGACATTTTTAAGTGAGGCCCAGAAATTATCCCTCTGTTTTAAAAAACGGACAGAAGAGCACTTGGATTTGGGACCTATTTTGTAGGGAGAATTTGGCAGATGTGCTGGGAAATAGGTGTAGGTTGTGAGATGGGCAGCCATCAAACTCAACTCCCCAGTTTTTAGCCTGGTCGGTGAGGGCTGTTGCTGAGATGTGGAAGGCTACAGCAAGATCCGGGTTAGGTGGAAAGAAGGCTGGGGTGGTGAGTTTGAGATCCAAGTGGGAATTTCAAGGATGTCCAGAAGGATGCTCCGTTTCTCCAATTAAGTTGGCTCATTTCCAGCCTCAGGGCCTTTACACCAGCTGTTCTCTCAATGGCAGGCAGTGGGTAAATGGCCTCCCCCCATAAGTTCACATATGGGGCCTTTCATATGGGGCCTTTGGTTCAAATGTCACCTCCTTGGTGTCCTTCCTCAACCACCTGTCCCTCCAACTAAAGCCACTGTTAACTTTCTATCTTCCCAAACTGTGGGCTCCTGGAGGGCAGGGTCCACATCTTGTTCACTGCTAAGTCTGTACCTAGCACAGAGCCCAATATATAGTACAAGACAGACTCCGTAAATGTAGAGTGAATGATTAATGGGGTCCTCTCTGGACCAGACCCTGTACATAGGAGGACCCATGAGATACAGTCCCCACCGTTGAGGGTCTCACAGTTATGCTGGAGGGAAAGAGATGTCAGCCCTAGATCCCAGGGGAGATGCCTTACCCAGAGGAAGGTCAGGGAAAGCTTCCCCCGGGAAGACCAGTGGGTTATGCAGCATATGGAGGCTCTGGAGACTTTCTAGGCACGGAAAAGAAGAATCTATTTGATGAGAGATGCTCAGTGACGGAAACTGACAGTTCCTGATGACTCGAATTCTGTCCAAGGGCAACGTTTAAGAAGCCATTACCCCCCAAGGGACAGAAACCAGTGGCCAAGTGCCCCGCAACGCGGCGGGTCTCCGGTAGGCGGCAAGGTAAGTAGGGCTCTTTCTTCGTGTGAGGAGCGAACACGCGAAAAGGAATGTCTCCAAGCTGCTCCCCTATTTCGGTACTAGCCACGCCCTGAACTACCGCGGCGAAGAGGTCATGTGACTAAAACAACTTCCGGTCTATCCTCCCCAGTTTTTTTTTTTTTTTACGAGCCTTGTTTGCTGCACTGTCATAGGGAAGCGCGTGCCAGGGTTTCCAGGGTTTCGAGGCCACAGGGGGCTTGGCTTGGGGCTGCTCTGATCTAAAAACGTGGCAGCAGGAGCATGGAGGGTCCCTCCGAGGGGAAGGCGCCGGCGGCGGCCCTGGCCGCTGTGCTAAAGCACAGCTCGGCGCTGCCGTCGGAAAGCGCTCAGGTTCGGGGCTACGACTTCAACCGTGGCGTGGACTACCACGCGCTGCTGGGAGCCTTCGGCACCACTGGTTTCCAGGCAACCAACTTCGGGCGCGCGGTCCAGCAAGTTAACGCCATGGTGAGGCCGGGGCGGGACTTCCTGGGTGTAGGGGGCGTGACTTCTAGTAGCACCGACGCGGTGCTGTACTTGGAAGGGCTGGGCTTCCCTGAGAGAAGAGGCGTGTCCTTTGCTGGGTCGATCCAATAGTTGGAGGGAGGTGGGGCTTACCTGTGGCGGGGGTTTCTCTGTTGGGGAGGGGAAGTTGCTCCTCCAGCAGCGACAAGTTAGTATCAAGAAGGGGTGGGGACTGATTTTAGGTAGGGGGCAGGTTATAGGTTGTGTGTGTGTGGTAGAATGGGAGAGGCCTGGGGCTAGACCGTACGGCTGAGAGAGGAATTGTAAGAAGAGCTAAGTTAGGGCCGGGGCTTGAATTTGCTCTTCCCAGCGGGAAGGCGACTGGATCCTTCAAAGGAGATGCTCTCTGGTTCCCAAGGGCAAAGCGTGAGCGTGTGTCCTGAGAGCTGTGAAAGGGGCGGAGTCTGCACATGGGTCTCCCTTCCTTGGTTCCAGGTAGAAGTGGTCCCCGTTCTCTGAATGGGCAGGTCCTCAGGCAGAGTCTGATTCTGAAAAGCGCTGGGGTACGTGGGCTGGAGTTTGGATCCAGAGGTTAATTTGACCCCGTTCTTACACATAGATAGAGAAGAAGCTGGAGCCTCTGCCAGAGGATGAAGACCAACACACAGATCTGACTCAGAGCCATCGCCCACTCACTGGCTGCACCATTTTTCTGGGCTACACGTCCAACCTCATCAGTTCAGGCATCCGTGAAACCATCCGTTATCTCGTGCAGCACAACATGGTGGGGAGCAGATGGGGCTGTGGCCTTGGCCTCTTTGAATCTCAAGTGCAATAAAATTATTGGTCATTTTAGTAAGAGAGAGAGATATATGTATAGGTCAGTTTTAGGCAGAGGGACAGGGTTGAGTTTTGTTTAGCAGCAGAGCTTCCTGCAAAGTTACTAGATGAGGGTTGGGAGTTAGAAGTCCTGCCCGGAATGAGGGCAAGGCCCTTCTTTCTGGGCCAACCGCACTGCCTGTGGCTGCAGGTGGATGTCTTGGTGACTACGGCAGGGGGCGTGGAGGAGGATCTCATCAAGTGCCTGGCGCCCACATACCTGGGCGAGTTCAGCCTCAGGGGGAAGGAGCTACGTGAGAACGGGATTAACAGGTGGGGGGGGGGGCTGAGTGGTGTTGGGGTAGGGGAGTTGGGCCAAGGGTCCTGAGGTCTGATGCCTGTCTGCCTCCTGTGCCCAGGATTGGGAACCTGCTGGTGCCCAATGACAATTACTGCAAGTTTGAAGACTGGCTGATGCCCATTCTGGACCAGATGGTGCTGGAGCAGAACACAGAGGTGGGGCTGAAATATTCTGGGGGGCCAGCATGGTGCCAGTCAGGGAGGGCACTGCTGGCTGCAGCTGATATCCCCTCCTAGGGTGTGAAGTGGACACCTTCCAAAATGATCGCCCGGCTTGGCAAGGAGATCAACAACCCAGAGTCAGTGTATTACTGGGCCCAGAAGGTGAGCGGTTGGGTGGGGGCAAAGATGCCCATGTTAACTTGTTCCATTTTCACGGTTGCCTGGGGAATCTGTACTGTTCTCATCACCTGCACTCTGAAATGAGGCATTTCAGAGAGGTTAGGCAGTTTGTCTGAGGTCACACAGCTATTGAGTGTGCCCCTCATATCCTGGCTTTACTCCTGGACCATCTGGAGCAGTTAGGGCAGTGCTTAGCAACCCCCCACCCCCACCCGGGGGCCTGTTGTAGGGTCCCCTGCTTCTCAGAGGCAGTGAGATCCAGCAACTGGAAAAATAACAGGAGCTGCCATTCTTTATATGCCACACATGGCCCTGTGTTTTGTGTGAATCTTCCTATGTATGCGGCCTCATCTGTGAGGGAGGTACTGTTGGTACCATCATTTTACAGTGAAGGAAACCGAAGCCCAGAAAAGTTAAACACCCTGCCTAGCATCCGGCAGAGAGGAAATGCTGCCAGAATGGGGACCAGGCTACTCTCACCAGGTTCTGACTCCTGCTACTGTCTTGTCTTGTTCTTCCTCAGAACCACATCCCTGTATTGAGCCCAGCGCTCACAGATGGTTCGCTGGGCGACATGATCTTTTTCCATTCCTACAAGAACCCAGGTCTGGTCCTGGACATCGTGGAGGGTGAGGCGCTGGGGCCAGAGTGGGGGAGGATGGCTGGCTGGGTCTGGGGCCTGACCACAGTGCTCTTCCCCAGACCTGAGACTCATCAACACCCAGGCCATCTTTGCCAAGCGCTCTGGCATGATCATCCTAGGTGGGGGTGTGATCAAGCACCACATTGCAAATGCCAACCTCATGGTGAGTGGGGACAGAGCACCTGGTCCTTAGTGTGGGGGTGGCACTTAGGCCTGCTATGCAGAGATGTCTGTATGCTTGGTCTATGCCATGTGCTGGAGACACAGACATGTACTAAACAGGCCAGGATTCCTGCTTTCCTGGGACTGATGTTTAAGTTTTGTGAGACAACAAGTAGGTGACAATCATTGCCTTGGAGAAAAATGAGTGATGGTAAGATGGTAAAAAGGGGCACTTCAAAAAAGGGAAGCCTTTCTGGGGAATGTGACCTGTGAGTAGGTGCCTCCCGTGAGTCATGTGGTTGTCTGGAGGAGGGGTTCCTGGCAGAGGGAACAGCCTGTGCAAAGGCTCTCAGGTGCTTAAAGTAAGTCAAGGAACAGCTAGGATGCCTATGAAAGGGAGAGTGGGGGGTAAGGTGAGGAGGTAGCAGGCAAGTCTTGCAGCGCCTTGAGGGCTCAGAGCCCTCAAGCTGCTGTAGGGGGAACAGATGAGTCCAGGACCAGGATGGGGGCCAAGGTGGGGAAGGTGGTTGGGTTCAGGCATCTTCTGAAGGTAAGAGTTGGTGAGCGGATGTGGGAGGGTTGTTGCTACCTAGAGGTGGGTCTGGGGAAACACTGCTCATTATTTCCCCAGTAACCCTCCAACCCCTCACTGCCCAGGTGTTCACTTAGGGCCCCTACTTGCAAGGGAGGGGCCACCAAAGGGCCCTCCTGATTATTTTAGGACACATGGCTCAGCCTCCCTAGCTGCAGTGCCCTGTTTCCTTTGACTGGCTGACCGCCTTACCCTGCCCCTTCCCACAGCGGAATGGGGCTGACTATGCTGTCTACATCAACACGGCCCAGGAATTTGATGGCTCCGACTCTGGTGCCCAGCCAGATGAAGCTGTCTCTTGGGGCAAGATCCGGGTGGATGCACAGCCTGTCAAGGTGAGGGCCAGCCAGCTGGCTGGGGTGCAGTCCCCAAACTGCTGCTTTGGGCCCCATAGTTAACTCAGTCCCTTCTGCAGGTCTGTGCTGATGCCTCCCTGGTCTTCCCCCTGCTTGTGGCTGAGACCTTTGCTCAGAAGGCAGATGCCTTCATGCATGAGAAGAACAAGGACTGAGCTGTGACCCCAGGGAGGGCCCCCTGCCATTTATTAGTTAGTAGACCCAGCCTCTTCTCCATTCCTTGGTTCATGGCACATCCATAATAAATGGTCCCAGTGGTCCAGAGTCTGCATCTGTGTGTGTTCTTGGTGGTAGTAGGTTCCCTGGCTTCAACCAGTAGCACCCTCAGCTTCATAGGCCTCTTCCCGCCAGTAATGGATGTTGCCCCCCATGGCAGTCAGCAGGCAGGGCTCTGTTGGGTGGTAGGTCAGTGACTGCACCACACCAGGACCCACTTGCAAGGCCAGTGCCAAGACACCCTGTAGAACAAGAGGGGAGCAGTTATCAGTGAGCCTCTCCACCCCGATCTTCTGCCACCTGCTTCTAGTGCACAGGTGTCAAAACACAAGGCCCTTGGGCTGAATTTGGCCTGGCACCTTGTTTCTAGGCGGCAGTGCCAAGATCCTTGCCTCTAGTTAAGGAGTAGTTACATTTATACAGTCCTAAAATTACATTTGGCCCTTTGAAGGCAATCATGAGGCTGATGTGGCCCCCAGTGAAAATAAGTTTGACACCCCTGTTCTAGTGGCTTTCTAGTCACTGTAAACCTGGTCTGCCCAAAAATGAGCCCCTTAGTGGCCCTGTACTCCCAGGTGCTCAGGCCAAACCCTTGAGAGTCTTTTCCACACCTCACATGCCTTTATCAGTAAATCTTCTTGGTTCTGCCTATAGTCGATGTCCAGAGGCCACCCATTCTTTCCATCTTCACGGCCATGACTGTGCTGTAAGCCAGTTGTGTCTGGCTTTGAGCTTCCCTCCACCCCTACCACGGGGGATCTGCCCGACCACTTGGCAACACCAGTGCCTGCACTTCCTTCATCAACCTGCAGACACAGTTCCACATACACAGTCTCTTAAGCAGGCCACAGTTTCTGTTTTTACCTTAAAATGTTCCCTCTCATGTGCCCTTCCTTTGTTGTGACCTCTGGTGTACTGGACCCTCAAGAATGCTGGCATTTTCGTAGCTCCCTGAGTGAGAGCTGGCCCATTGAGTCCCCAGGGTCCCCCAGTTCCCTCCATCCTCTTAGGGAACTTGCATTCCCTGGCCAACAATCCCCAGTACCCATATCTCCTTCCAGGAGGCTCTCCAGCCCTCACTCCATTAAGTCCAGCCAGTGTGTTCTCAGCCCCATGCCACCACCAGGCTGGGATGCATCAGGATGGGGCTCATCTACCCTAGGATCAGTCGCCACCATTGGCTCCCCCTCCCTCAGGGCCAGTCCCTGTAGGTCAGCCTGGCACTGGTGGCCCCTGCCTGACTTGGATCCCACTGCTACCACTGCCATCCTAAAGTGCTTCTATTTCCTGACGAATGTGTGCCATACCTCCAAGCCTTAGCACATTGTTCTTTGCCAGGAAGGCCCTTCTTGTCTTCTCACTCATTCCTTCCAGCCCTTGGTTCTAATAGCATTCCCTTTTTCAGGTCTGGGAGTGACTGAGGTAAGGACAAAGTGGGGACTGGGCAGGTGCTCTGGTGCAGTGTGGAAGTGGGGAGGCTCACCTCCACCAGGTCCCAAAAGAACACCTTCCCGTCCTCGGAGCAGCTGACCACATGTGTGTCACGCTCGCTCAGGCAGCAGTCCAGCTTGTACTCCTGGTTCTTATGGCCCATGTACCTGGGGGTAGGTGGGATCAGTGGGCTTGGGACTTACCAAGGGCAGAGGTGGGGGGAGGGGCCCTATACCCGAAGCACTCACTGCCCTAGCAGCTCCCCTGTGTCCTTGTCTAGAAGTCTCAATGTGGAGTCCAGGCTGGACACCAGGGTGCACTGCCCATCCCGGCTGAAGCAGGTGCAAGTGATGGGGCCTGGGGGGAGGGGTGGGCAGGCAGATGAGGCTGGGGCCCCCTTTGCTGCCCCTACCTCTCCCGCACCCCCAACAGCCTGGCCATACTCACTGCCCACGTAGTCTGAGAAGAGCTGACCCATCCTTAGGTCATAGCGCCTCAGCCGACCATCCACAGAGCTGTAAGACAGGGTGGATCCCGATGAAGCCTCAACTGAGGCCAGTGGTCCATGGCTCTAGAAGCTCAGTGTTACCATACCCTTCTACCTGGCCAGGGCCCTAAAGACATGACTGAGCCTGTCTTTCCCACACCTCCCTCACTGTCATACTCCCTCTCAGGGATGGCCATGGAAAACATGCATTTAAATGAATGCATGAATGGACTTCTGGGGCATTGGCTTTGAGATTCAGACCCAGGGGCCAATCAGGAATTACTCCATCTGTTTCTGATATGTACTGAGCATCCTCTTTGGGCCAGATGTTGTAGTGGGAAGGGCAGGCTTGGGACACAGCTTCAGTGAAGTCAGGAGAAATTTCTGGAGCCTCACTGAGGGTAACCTATGAAGGCCTCCCCAAGGAGGGTGACATCTGAACTGGGACTTGAAGGACAAGCGGAAGCCAACCTTTTGGGGTTGAAGGGGAGATGTGTGATGACAAGACTAGTCAACAGGCTGGGCAGCCTGAACTCCCTCCACTGGGGAATGGCATTCCCTTGGGTTGTGGTAACACTTGAGCAGCCCGGCATGGGAACTGTTTGTTTATTTATTTTTAACTGTTTTCTGCAGCTAGAATATGAATCCTATAAGGGCAGGGATTTTTCCTTATTTCCCTGTCTTATTCACTGCTATATTGCTCATTGACAAAAAAGAGTGGCCCACAGGAAGTACCTAAATACACTTGGAGTAAGTAGTAAAAGGGCAGTCCAGGCAGAGAAAGAGCAATTGCAAAGCTCCTGGGGTGGGAGCATGTTTGGCATATTTACTTGAAAGGAAGCTGGGAATAAAAGTTGAGAGGTCAGTAGGGACCAGACTACACAGGGCCCTGGGCACCACAGTGAGGAGAGTACACATTAATCTAAGGACAGAGGCGGCTATAATCCTCAGGGGCACCTGAGGAAGGGTAATGCCCTGGTTCCACTCACCCTCCCAGAACCTCATGGTCTGACATCTTCACACTGGATACACCATCCTTGGCTTCGTCCAGCTTCTGTACAGGGTCAGGCCTCCGAGAACGGCAGTCCCAGCAACGGATAGTGGAATCAATAGAGCCTGTGAGGCCGGTGTGAAAGTGAGGTCAGATTTGGGGAGTCAGGGGGAGCACCCTAGGCTCCTCTGCGTAGGCACTAATTACACTTACCGGACAGGATGACCGTGGCTTCTTCATTAAACTGTACCGTGTTTACCTTCTAAGAAACAGAAAACGCCACTCAGACAAAGATACTGCTCCGGGATCCCCTCTCTGTCTTATACCGGTCTGTACAAAGGTTTTGGAGCCTTACTCGCTTGGGTGTAACCGTATTATTGTCCTCCGTGGACTACTGTTTCCCACTTCCGGGCTCAAAGTTTTGGCTTTTTGTAGATAATGGTGGGAATACTGAAGGCTGGACTTTGGAGGACCGAGATAAAGGCAGGGTTCCCAGTGCAGATTAAAGTGAGGACAAAAGCTAGAAGTAGGGGAGGTGAAAGGTTTCACCACTATGAGGCTTGGTGAATGCCTTGTAATGGGGGTGGCATACGTATCACCATCCATGCTCTAATGAGGGCTCTTTTTGCTTGCACTCACCCCTGCGTGACCCCGGAATTTACGCACGACTTGCCCCGATGCCACATCCCACAGCACCACCGCTTTGTCCCCGCCGCCGGAGCAGAGATTGCTATTGTCAAAGGAACTAGAGGGCAGAGGAAGGGAGGTCAGCGTCGACCTCCGATCCCCGCCCCAACGTCCCCATCCCGGCCTGGCCCCGGCTCACCTGGCTGCGTCCAGCACCTCGTAGCCGTGGCCGCTGTACGTCCGCAGCAGTGTCCCCCGTAGAGGGTTCCACAGCTTCAGGGTCTTGTCGCTGCCGCAAGTCAGGCAGTAATTGCCATCCACTGGGGAACAGCACGCGAGGGTTACTGGGCAGCTAACCTCAGGAAGCGGGAGGCAGAGTCGGAATGAAGGTGACGGTGCTCACCATTAAAGCGCACGGCTCGCACTGCTCCCTGCCCGCAGTCTAGCGTCTTCAACCGTTTCTGAGGCAGCTCCGGGCCCCGCAGCTTTGGCTCCGGGAAAGACATAGCTCTGGGATCCCTTTCTCGCAGCCTTATATCGGTCAGTACTAAGGTTTCCCAACCTTACTCACTTGGTTGTAACTTTATTATTGCCCTCCGTGGACTACTTCCTGTTCCCCACTTTGGCTTTTTGGAGATAATGTTGGAAATACGGAAGGCTGACACTAGGTTCAAGGTTTCTTCCCTTATTTCCTGCTTCCAATAAACATTGTTGGCTTCTTCTAATTCTGTCTTCTGACTGGAGGAGTCCTGGCCTCCCGCCGATAGGAACAGAAGCGCGAGGGCTGCGGGTGTTACTGTAAAAACTACCCTCCGTTTCCGCGCCGGAAAGGGCAACTCCCGCAGCGGAAGAGGCGCGATCTCCGCCTCGTTATGTCTACGAACAATATGTCTGACCCACGGAGACCGAATAAAGTGCTGAGGTGAGGACCCTGGCGTCATGGGAAAGTGGTTCGGGTTGTGGGTCGGAACCTAGGGAAGCGCTTGTTCATCCTGGGGGCGGGACACGAGTGCCTTTGACCTCGATCGTGCCGCAGGTACAAGCCTCCGCCGAGCGAATGTAACCCGGCTTTGGATGACCCGACGCCGGACTACATGAACCTGCTCGGCATGATTTTCAGCATGTGCGGCCTCATGCTCAAGGTGGGCAGGGCTGCATATCTCCGCCCAACTGCGAGGCCGGGGGCGGGTTCGGAACGAGGTGGGGGCTGGCGCTGAGGGGGCGGGGCTAGGGTGTAAGTTGGACGGAGAAAGCCAGGCGGTGAGGGAAACCAGGGATCCGGGTCGTGGTGGGTACGTGGGAGGTTGGTGTGAGGGTGGGACCAGACTCTAAAGCGACTTGGAAGGGATGGTGTAGAAAGGGTGGGGTCCTTAGCATGTAAAAGGCCAGCAGTCTTTTTAGGCCTGAGGGAAAACTGTACTTGGAGTAGGCTCTGGGTAGATGGGACTGAGGAATTCCTGGGGCCCGGTAGACAAGGTTCAAGCTGCACCAGCTGGAGCCAGTGTGTTGGAATCCGTGCGTGGGAATGCCCCTTGTCTTCCACTGACCTAACCTGGTCATCCACCTGCCTTTCCCCAGCTGAAGTGGTGTGCCTGGGTTGCTGTCTACTGCTCCTTCATCAGCTTCGCCAACTCCCGGAGCTCTGAAGACACTAAGCAAATGATGAGTAGCTTCATGTGAGGCTGGGCCTGGAGAAGGAGGGACTCCTGATAAGGGGAGGGAGTACCCAAGCTTACTCATCCTGACTGACACCTCTCTCTGGTCCTAGGCTGTCCATTTCTGCCGTGGTGATGTCGTATCTGCAGAACCCTCAGCCCATGACGCCTCCTTGGTGATGTCAGCCTAGAGGGGTCGCATCCTGGACCTCTCTATACACCTCCCTCCAGGGTTGATTCTTGGCTGCTCTGCCTCCTACCCTCAGCTGCTGGCTGTCCTGAGCTCTCCTGGGTGAGGTAGTCGCAGGGTCCACAGCTGGATGGAAGAAACCTGGACCTTTCCCTCTGGTCCCACTTCTGCTGGGGCAGAGAGGGGAATGCCCTGGGCCTACTGCTCCTGCCTGCCTTTCCCACCCTGCCTGCTGCTGGGGGAGAACCTGGCCATGTTTCTAGGTGTACCCATTCATTTTCTTGTTGAAACCAGTTAATAATAAAGTTTTGCATTCTGGGTATTCTCTGAGACTCCTGTGCATTGTGGGTGCTGTCCTAGAAGGGCTTCAGTTCCTTTACTTAGTCCTGTGGTGAGGTCCCAGTCTGGAGCCTTCTGGTGGTTCACTTGCTTATTCACAGGCTTCCTGCCTTAAGTCAGCTGTTGGGGATAGGACAGTGACCCCCTTCTGACAACACAGCAGATGGCTTGCTGACCTTAGGAATCTGGGCTTTGACTTTTTATCAAAGGAATGAGATAATGTCAGTAAGCTAGATGGACAGACAGGGAATCAGAAAGGCATGAAAGATTGAGGCTTCCCCTGCTGTGGAGGAGAGATTGGACTTCTGCCAGACCCAAGAACAGGACCTGGGTTAGAAGGAGGAGAACGCTACTGTAAGGCACCCTTGTGATTGTATTTGATGTTTATTCTGACACAAGTCAACACCCCTCTCTTGCCTCCTGCTATATGCTGGTTCTTTGAAAAGGTTGTCCTGACATGGTCAAGCATGTGAAGTAAATTCTCATATCTGGTAGCATTCATGTACTAGTATGTATGAATATTCCTCTCTTTAGTCTGTATAATTCATTGGCACCTGCCAAACATCATGGGGATTGATTTCAACTTGCAGCCACTTAAGACACACCTCTATGTCAGTTTCCCTTAAACTATTAATTACCAGAGTGGAGTGGCAGCTTCTTTCATTGGTCTCTCTCCACCCTGTGCTGCTTATGGAGGTAGATTTTCAATCTTGGGGCTTTCCCCTGGGTCTGCATGTACCAAAAATTGGCCAGCCAGCCAGGAGACCAAAAAAATGGCCTTTGGGAAAGGGGATCAATCTAACTTGTTGACCTCTGTGTGGAGGAGTGGCTTGTATGTTAGATACATGGGGACTGAAATACGAATACAGGGATGCTCTAAAAACGCTGACTGTTTTTATGTACATCTTTAAGGAACTGCACTGCAGCAAGGCAGGAAAATTTACGGTTGCTACTGTAGGCTGGTCCCTCTTATGATTGGTTTGGCTGGTCACAGATGCCCTCCTAGAGACAAAAGATGGGCTTAGAACATTAGAGAAGAACTGAAACTGGAAAAAGAACTCTGTTAGCATCAGGACTGGCTGATAAAGGCAGGGGGTGGAGCAGGGAGGAAGGTCCTTTAAACAGATTCCACCCTTTTTTGGAAGCCATGAGGTCTCTGCACCTGTATGTTCATATGTATCTATATTTGTGTTATGTTTGTGTGTTATTTTCTACTTCAAAATGGTATTGCTGACTTATAAAAGAGCTATGTTTAATTGGTTTAAAGGAATTAAGTGCTTATATAAATTAAGATTGGGTATTCTAAAATTCTCAGAGATTCAGAAACTAACCCAAATGCTTTTCAGAATCACATGATCTGGGAAAATATTTGATATTAAAGCTAGTTTAAATGTATTGGTTTAATTAAAACAGACATCTCTTTAGAGTTATCACAGTTAAATTTGATGCCTTTATTTTATCTAGGCTTATAAATTTGTCAGCAAAACTAATAACAATATGGGCTGAATTTAAAAAAAAGAATATGGGCTGATTTTGTCTAGAGTCTCATGAAGTTTTTGTGGGCAAACCTAAATATAATTGTTAAGAACTAATAGCCCTTACCGGTGTGACTTGGTTGGGTGTCACTCTGCAAAACAAAGGGTTGCCAGTTTGATTCTAGGTCAGGGTACATCCCTGGGTTGTGGGTTTGATGCATGGTAGGCATCAAATGCCTTGGTAAAAATATACACTTTAGACCTGGCTGGTGTGGCTCAGTGGATTGAACGCTAGCCTGCGAACCAAAGGGTTGCTGGTTCAATTCCCAGTCAGGGCACATGCCTGGGTTGTGGGCCAGGTCCCTGGTAGGGGGCGTATGAGTGGCAACCACACATTGATGTTTCTCTCCCTCTCTTTCTCCTACTTTTCCCCTCTGTCTAAAAATAAATAAGTAACATTGAAAAAATACACTTTTATCAACTGAACCATCGGTGGACACTGCAGATAGTACACCAAAAGATGTGAAAAGGTGATAGTGCCTTAATAGGATAGCACATAGCTAAGGAGGCAGGGCTGGGCTGCCTTTTAAATACACCTGGTCAATACAGTTAGTTATTGAATGCAGGTTCTATCTCCCCTATAAACCACAGGCAGCTGGGTTGGTGGAATGGAAAAATGGTGTCCTAAACAGATAAAATTACTAACTGGAAAACCTACTGTGACCAGGTATACAAAGGTGTTTTCCCAAGTGTTAATACACTGAAATGACCAACTTGTGGGGCTTATTGCTCCAGATGCCAGGCTGGGAACTCAAATGAGGCACCCAGTATGGTAAAAGTGTGACAAACAAAGGAGACAGAAAAGTCCTGGCACTTGCCATGGACCAGTGGACCAAGACCCTGAGGACACCAGGCTCTGATGTCCCTGGAGCACAGACCATTTACTAGAATCTGTGATGGGATGTTATGCTGGGATGGTTCAGGTACTTCGTGTCTCTGGTAGGGGAGGAACTACTCATTTTCCTGTAGGACCTGTTATCCTGATGTAAGTCAAAGCCCATGGAGACAGGCTCTATGTGGATTGGTACATGCACCTTGAAAGAGGGGAGAAGGTAGGGGTCCTGATCTAATATACCCTCCTTTTTATTCACCTCCTTAGTACCAGAGAGCACCACTTCTTCCTGACCAACAATTGTGGTTTACACAACCTGGCCAGTTCCCAACACTGCAGCTACATTAACACCTAAAGATCAGACTAGACATGTAATTCTCATAGATCTCCCGATTCAGGTCCCTACTAGATACCTGTCTTTCTGACCTTAGACTTCCTGCTGTTCCTGTAGCATCCATTTACAGGTGTGTGTGTGTGTGTGTGTGTGTGTGTATGTATGGGATGGGGGCTATGCGATCATCCAAACTGAATGTTGTGTTCTTATACCAGATGAATCTATTAATATTTCTTCTTTGTTAGCACATATGAAAACTCAAGTAAATGCCTTGCATGACCCAGCCCCACACTTAGGTGACTGACTTATTAACTCACTGGTTTGGATCCTGGGGAGTGGGGGGAAGCATGGTGGAAAAAGTTGTTAGTGATATTTGGACTGTTTCTTTTAATTTGTCTCTTGTATGTATCTGTACTGTTGGTGCAGACTGCGTTTCCAGTGAGGTCAGTTGGCAACTAAGAGAGCTACCTCCCTGCTACTGAAGCCCCTCACTGACCACTCAGGGTGCCTCAGGGAAGAGGAGGTCATGTGAAACTCTAAGAGCCGGTCATAAGAGGTAGAGTGTGGAGGAGAGACTGTTCCGTGATGTGACCTCTGCTGGACCTGGGCCAGAATGCAGAAACTGATTACTGCAAACCTCCCTTAAAGACTGATCATACTTGATGTTCATTCTAACATAAATCATACCCTAAATCATACCCTTCCCTTCTTGCCTCCTGCTACGTGCTGGTTTCAGAAACAGGTTGTTGTCCTGAACTGTTCAAGCCCATGAAGTAATTTCCATACCTGGTAGCATTCATGTAGTATTATCCATGACGTTCCCC